TCGCTGATCGTCTCGCTCGATTCCATCTTGAATTGGGTCAACCGTTGAACCAATAAGCTCTTCGCAGCTCGAGTCTGCTGCCCATACTTAGCCGCCAAAGCAAGCCACAGGTCGTACGCCTTCGCGTGACGCGCGTACAGGGGCTTCTCCAGGACGCGGATGAATTCCTTGATAACGCCCAAAGCTCGCTGGTCTTGCTCGTCTGTCACTACATCCCGCGTAGCCTGCACGGGGCTGATCGCGTTCGCTAGTCCTTTACGTTGAAGGACGCCGATGACGTGCTCCTTCAAGAGGTGAAAGGTGCTAATGGAGAAATAAAAATCCTCCTTATCTATTTTCATCCTTGCCTACAGCTAAGTCCGCACACAGCAGAAAAAGGCACCACCGGGCAAACGGATGACCGCACGCTAAAGCGCGGGGCTCATAACCTGTTAGAGATAAGAGTCCTTCAGTGAACACATCACTCGCTCATATCGTTACACAAGGAGAGAGAGAGAAAGGATACGCAAGCAGTATATAAGCATACCGTAGCCAATCCTGATCCGATGTCGTATTGGGATAACGGCAACTAATCAAACTACCGAAGTGTCAAGCCTGAGTGTACCTAAGAGCACTTTCCAACACATTTGTAGCGTTCCAAACAGGGGCGGTTCCAAGAAGCTCGAAGACGAAGATGCTCAGAAGAGCTCGAAACCCCGGACGCCTCTCAGACACCTCCACCTATCCCTTCCTAGACTGGACCTAGACACAACGCCAGCTCGTACCCCATCACATAGCGTAGGGTCAGACAGGAAAGACTGCAAAGGGAAAACTCCGCTGTGAGACTCATGAGCACCGACCCAGATTCTAAAATGCCAGTGGAGTCTCCTGCCCTCGACTCTCGATTCGGGGGCGAATTGCGTCAACTTCCGCTTTGTTCCTACCGATTTCCTCTTCGACCGCAGCAGCCTTTGCTTAACGAGGTCCAACTCAGGCATCTGGAACCCTTTCACCATACAATCCCAGCTCCTTCAGGGAAGATATCATCTGAAAGTGGGTTCGAATTTATGGAAAGCATCGGCAGGGTGGTGCCCTAAGTGGAATTTGCAAACAATAATTTGCAAATTACAGGCAGGCCTTTTAGTTAAAGGGGGCAACCATTCAATATTTTACCTCCCAGCCAAGGTTTTGACCAGTGGAACTGGCTGATGTAGAAAAGGATTGAATTGTGAACCCTTCGGATCGCGCCAATCAATCCGGCCCTTAGAGAGCAGGCTCTCTGACTTCAGAGTTTTACGTCAGTGGGTTTTTTAACATAGAATATGTAGGCAGATAGATTGTAGATAGTTAGACACTACAGATTTGGAAGTATGGCTGCACGTACTCGCTGCATGCGCGCTTGTGTTAGATGTTCCTTGGGAATAAAAATGGCAAATGATAATCAAAATTCATTCTCTTTCGTTCGAGCACTTGGAACCTAGCGAGGTTTGCAAGCGGGAAAAGTTCCACCGTTAACTGGCGCTCAGCCAAGCACCGCGATAACTGCACATCACGCCACCACGCCACCGTACCGTAACCCTCCTCATTGCGAACTGACAACAACCAACAAAAGCCAAGCTGACAAATCTTAATAACATGCCCACCATATGAAACGGTCAGGATAGCAACCCCTGTTCGGCACTACCAAGGGGCAACATCCCCACAGGCGATGTTACGTGCCCATACCTCCCTTTCGCCCCACACGCAACCTCACAAAAACGTTTCCTCGAAAGAGGCCACGCGGCTTTTTTTATTCCACACTGCACGTCATAACACACACACACCATACCGCCAAACACAACACCAAATACACGGGGATAGTGAACTGGATTCGGTCCAAACCACAAACGTACACACACCACAAACCAAAAGAGCTCTCGGGCTGTGTTCTTCTCCAATCCGTACCTGACCCCATCCCCCCCACGACACCCCCAGCAGTGTTCCTTGTTTTCTTTCTTTCACATCCTCGAGCATCAAGGAGGGGCCTTAACTCCTCTTCCTCCCCTAGGACGGGCTACACATGTTGGTTGCGATGGTTGAAAATGGTATCTACGTGGGGTTTATAGGACGATGTGGCCAATGCCGATGTGAGCATCCTTCCCCCCTCAGCTCGTAGTCAAAGATCCGGCCATCCACAATCTACACTGATTGTACGGCACCCGCCTTAGTAGGGTGTGTAAAAATGCGGGCTTGCTCATCTGTCCGTGCCCACACACCTTTACACGCACAAGACATGCGTCGTATGCTCACAAAGAAGCATGCCAATCAACTTATTGTTTTCGTCAAGGCTGTTTTGTAATGTTTTTTCTTTTGTTTTGCTGCTGCCACCTAGATTTTTCCCAGATGTACCAATAAATAATACATCGGTGCGAAGGGCTATGATAGATGTCGTTGTTGTTGTTGTTGTTGTTGTTGTTGTTGTTGTTGTTCCAAATTCAATGAAAATTCACAGCGGCTGCTCCTGTGGCGGCTGGGGTTGAGACTGCAAGGTTCCGCTCTCAAGCTGAGCCACAATCTCCATAATCTGCGCGGCTGGCAGCAGGCCCTCCGTGCGCAGCGCAGGTTTGCCGTTTTCCTTGGGTATGATCACCAACGTGGGGAGACCTTGGATCTGTGGGTCAGTGTGGAGGTTCCGGTTATTAGAAGGTGAGCGAAGAACGGGAGAGATATTACGGGATCATGAAGACAGCGATCCGGGAGTCATGACGCTTAGCAGTAAGAGGCCAGAAGTAAGAAGTTAGCCAGCAGCAAGAAGTGAGCAGTAAGGTAGAGTCACGTGGGGGATGCCGAGGGGGGAAGAAGGAGATGGTGTGTGTTTGAGTGTGTGTGGGGGAGAAGTACATAATGATGTTGCTACTGGTGGTGGTGGTGGTGGTGGTGGTTGGTGCAAAGAAAGACGTGCGGGATTGGATTTGCCCGCGGTGTGGAGGCCTGTGGGTTGGGTAGGGTCCAGGGGGGGAGGTGGTTAGAGAGCGGTAGGAGGGGGAGGGAGAGGAGGAGGAGAAGGTGTGGCTCATCGCCAGGGCATGAAAAGGTGCCATACACATGCGCCGGCTCACAACAACGAACCCGGATTCCCGGCGCTACCCCCGGTCTCACACACACACACACACACACACCTCACCCCTCCATCACGCCAAAAAACCCAATCTGAACCAATCCAACTCAGCAACCAACCCGACTCAGCTCCTGAAAGAATTAAAGCTTCACATCAAAGCGGTGTTTCCCAAGCCCACAGGCTTAAAATGTAGGGGACTGCACGGCATTTCCGTGCACGGAACTGTACGGTACCGACCTTCAGTAGGTTGCTAAGCTCGGGATTCTCGTCGACATCCACCTTGACCACTTTCACTTTGCCCTCCAGCTGCTCGGCCACCTGCGCCAGGGCACAGGACGGGCCCACCGTGTGGTGATGCCGAAGCTGAGGTTATAATAACTTACTGTAACAGTACTATAGAAAAATACATTGTATTGTTCTAATACAAAAAGGAGGAAAGGGTAGGTGCAACCAGGTGCAGGGTAGGTGCAACCAGGGTAGGTGCAAAGAGCAGGCGGATCGGTAGGTGACAGGGGAATGGGACGGTCGGCGAGTGATGGTGAATGACGAGGCGTCGGGAGGAGGAGGAGGAGTGGAGCTCCGGGAATGATCGCGATATCGTTCGTCATATCGAACATCGCCTTCCGAAAGGATGCTTCATGTGCTCAATCGCTGTCCTCCAGGGATAGCCTTCATGAGGACCCTCCTCCACATTCCCAAACATGAAAGATTAACCCTGCGGCTCTTTTTCCCCCTTTCCCCCCTAAAGCTTATAATGCTCAGACAGCTCTCCTCTTTATTGTGTGTAATTTTAGTATTGTGTGTAATTTTAGTAAAAACTAAAATTACACAAACCCCCAAAAAACAACCTAACTCCCACTACCTGCTCCAGTTCTCGAGCCAGCAGAAGACAAGGCCCACACCAGGTCTGAAGCGCCGCCGCCGCCGCCAGGTGTACGGATTTTAGGTGTACGGATCGGTTTTTATTAATTGGAGATGTGGTGACGGTTGTAACGGTGGCAGCCAAAGATGTTGTCGTTTTGCGGTGTTCCGTGATGAGGCGGAGGATGGGAGTGCACCGAGAGGTGTACAAGTGAGACCCAGGTACGGCATCGGTTGTACGGCGGTGGGTGGTAATGGTGACATACATACAAGGAATGAGGGGATGTAGCGGGAGAGAAAGTAATAGGCGACAGTAATGACGTAAGAATCAGCTGGGGTAAGACGAACCACTGGCGAATGATGGCGAATAATCTACTAGGGGTTTGATGGAGTGTAACGATGCGGGGCCATATTTAAATGTGGATCAGACTGCTCCACCTTGAGGTGCAGCATGCATGAAACTAAAGTAGGCGTGGGTAGAAGCGCGGCGAGAGCAAAACAATCACCGGCATGCGTCCAGCAGCTGCACCTAGTGGTCTGATACTGGTCTGGTAGTAGTTGTTGTCGCTGTTGTAAGCCGTGGCGGAAGGAAAATCTTCGGATTTGGCGGGAAATGTTTCGATTTGGCGGGAAGAATCTTTTTCCAAACCCACCGCAAAAAAGTCAACGATCAGGGTGGTGTCACGACCAGCGATAGCCACCTCGAGCTCCTCCCCAGAGATTTTCTGGACCTGCATTTTATGGGTCGTCGGCGATTAGCAGGTACGGGGGGTGGTTAGGCCTGTCGGCGTGTTGAGAGCACATGTCCCGAGACGACCAGGCCGTGCTCAGAACCGTCGCAAATTGTCTATTATCAGAAGAATCCATGTACGGGCGTTAGCATGGAAGGCTTACTTTGGCACGAAGGATGATGCTACGCCGGGCGGCTACGTTGTGCTCAATTATACGTGCCGGGGTGGGCAGCATCCGGACGCAGGGCGCACCGGCTCGGCGTGGCAGGCATTTCGGAGCCACACGTTCCCTTGATACTGTACCTAAAAGAGAGCTGCGGCTTACGACACCTGCAACGACGTGAGCCATGCCGAACTGACAAATTGCGATAAAGATACGAGGCGGCTATAGCAGGAAGAAAACAAAGCCTGACGCGCACAAGTGTAAATAGGTTGAAGGAGAGTAAATTATCACGCAATGCGCTGCAGATCACTATTGCAAAGCAGAGCGAAAGTCGTACTGGGGTGTTTCGGTATCGTCGTCACGATTCCTCATTCCGACAGTGCAAGGCTTGGGACAAAGAAGACACCTCTAATTACGTGCATCGTTTCCTAATCACCGCTTGAAATTGACTGAGAGGTCAGTTGATCCTGGGCCGACCGGAGTAAGCCACCTGCTCACATCACTATCACTATTGGATTTGTTGATTGGGGCCAAATTCACTCCTTTATCCAAATTCCTTAATGTGCTAGTTGAGAGGCCGCCGCTGCCTTGCGGCAATCTTCTAGTTACTTTCATTCCCCGCCGTGCTGTAAATATTTTAGAAAAATGGCGTCTGGGGAGACCGGATTGGCGTCGCTTGTAGGCAGTGAGTATTCCGGCACATTCGGGTGTCGCGGAATCGGCGATTGGGCGCGCATACTGAGCCCGGCTGCGTGCCTCTGCCCGCCCCGCAGCTCAAATCTCGGTCATCACAAACGACGGAAAACATTACGTGGTGCGTAGGTCATTTGCATACGGGTCTAGCTCAAGGGCCTTGCGTACCCTTTGTACGGGAGCTCTCAGAGCAATCCGCCATCGTGTGCGACCTTGCAGGGCATTTTGCGAGGATATGATCAGGCCACCAACCTATTGCTCCAAGAGTGCCAAGAACGAGTTTATTCCACGAAGGTCGGTAACGGTGTAAGAAGAATGCAATCTGTCGGGTCAACACGGGCAAAATGTGTGGGGAGGGAGGGATTACGGAGGATTGCAAGTCAACCAAGTCAACTCCCCTGTTAGCGTGTCCTTCCACATCGTGTCCCCCTCCAGGTTTTGGCCCCCCTCCCTCTTCCCCACTTTCCTGCCCACTTGTGCGCTAATACCAGGCCGTACACGTACCCTCTCCCTCAACCAGCACCCTGCAGCCTGCGTCCGCTTCCCACCCTCCCACTAACCCTTCCGCTCCCATTCCCCACCTTCCCGCCAACATGCCATTCGCAGTCCGGCGTCCAGATTATTCAAAACCCCGGAGTATACTGCATCCGCGGTGATAATGTGTAGGTTGCGACTTGCGACTTTTTATTCATGAAAAATTAGGGCCTGTTGGATAACTTGCTTTGACGGCGTCCAGATTCCTCTGCTACCATTTTTCTAGGGTTAGGTTTGGAAACATAAAGCTCCGAAACCGTTGGGGGGGAGGGAAAGAGCCCCTTGACCTTGACCGTCTTCCCCCCTGTTCCCCTCGCGGAGGCCGCGGTGGCATCAGTTGTTTTAGGGATTCTGTTATCAGTTGATATCAGTTGGACGTCTCCGGCAGTTGGACCCCTCCCCCTTCTTGGCTTTTGCATCCACGAAATCGCATTTTTTTGTATTCTTATAATTTCCCGCCTTCTCCGCCTCTTCCCGCTTCATCCACCCTCCAACTCCCAGAGCTGTTGTGGGGGAGGTGGACGAGGAGGCGGATTCACAACTTGACCTCAGCGCTGTCCGAGCACCTCCTCTTGCGCCCATACACCACTGATTGGCGCGGGTTGGGTTTCTGGGAACCTTCTGCAAGAAAGCGGGAAGTGAAGTGCAGGTGTCCCCAGAGGTTTGGGGGATGGAATTGGGGGAATAGGGTTTCGGAGCGGGATTGCGAACAACCAGGGTAGGGGTGCGATGCCCCAGGCGTGGAAGGGCGAGGAGGGGTTTGTGGGAGTACGGAGGAGAGGAAAGGTTTTTTTACGCACCGCGGTATGGGTGGGAACTGTATGTATGTATGTATGTAGGTGTACGCGAGCTGGGGAAGGGGAGATACTGCACCGCCCTCGCTTAGTGCCTTGCGCTCTGTCGGATTATCTTATATCTTGCAGTCTGATGTGGCTGTTTGCCTGCTTCGTTGGCCGGCTGCCTGCCTGTCTGTCTGTCTGCGTGGACGTGGCATACTCTTTACTGCTTATATTCCTGGGCACAGCCCATGTGGACGTGGTGCTGATGGGATGACATGGACTTGGGGGGCCTCAAGGCGGGCAGCCAGCAACACGACACAACTCCCACACCGCAGCGGAACGTCGTATGTATATCAGTCCCACACAAACCCACGACAGTCTCAGTCTCTCCCCTCCGCAGCCACCCCTGCCAACAGAAGCAGCTGTCGAGAAAACCAGCAGGCGGTTTGCCTGCGACAAGTATACATACAGCTTGGCAGTTCTGCTTTAGCCGTCAAACTGATTCGCCTGTTCTAGGCTGTGCATGTGCATGTTTTTGGGGTTGCTGTGAGGGACTTCTGGATGAGGGGCTTATCGGCCTATCGGGGCTTATCGGCCTATCGGGGCTTATCTGGGCTTATCGGCCCATATTCCACCCGTAATATTGGAGGAGGTGGAGGTGCTGGCGATGTTGATGGTTGCTAGGGGCTCCCAGGGCGTGCTGCAGGGCGTGGCTAAAACGAAAACTCAGCGTTCCCCTGCCAAGGTAACTTGAACTGTCATTCGGAATGGCGATATACCGTGGTGCTACCGTGGTCGGGCCCATTTCGGAAATGGGCTTATTAGGTGACTTTGCTGTGTAGCAGAGGCGGACCCGACTCGCGATTCGCCGCTTCGTCAGTTTTTATTATTCATCAATGTTGGCTGACGTGTCAATGTTGGCTCAGTAGTGCAGCTCGCAGCTTAACCGCCCTGGTCGTGGTGATTGGTGGTGGTGGTGGAAAGGGTAGGCAGCATGCCAGGGCAGCAAGCATGTCAGGACAGCATGTCAGGGGGAAAAGAATGGAGCAGCTGATGAGACGCACGGCGGGGGGGTAATGTGTATTGACAAACCAAACGCAAGGGGCAAGGAAGCAGCCACAGAGCAAACGAATGGCTGCGCGAGTGTGTCAACCACCACCACCTCGATTTCTTCAGGGGCCGGTAGGGAGCCAATAGGGCAGGGAGGGAGGCACGTTGTCTGAGTAATGTTATTTAGTAATGTTATATATTGTCTGTTATACCCTTGATGAACCCTGGCACGGATGTGGCCATAAAACTACAGAGACTAACACTAAAGAGACGAAGGGCAGCATAGCGATTAATACTACTGCTGCGTGACATTACCGTGTGGATTCTGACCTCACCGTCTTTCGGACCTTGGAAGCAAAAGAGCTGTCGCCGGCAGCACCTATTTCACCTGATTGGGTCGACCTATAAAACCCCCGTACACACACAACAAAACCACATTCTTACACACAATACGGCACCTACTCCGTTCATTCATACAGCATACATGGCGTTTAATTTTTTAAAGTTTCCAACTTTTTTTTGAAACAACTCAATATCGTTTGCGTTTCGTACGGGAATACGGAACTCCAGACCGCGATGCCGATATGTAATAATACTGGCAACGAACGAAGTGCACCGTACAGCACCGCCGTACGTTCCGTTCCTCTTCCTACCTTCTCGCTTTTTCGTTGCTTGCTTTCGGTTTTATAACAAAATTTTCTGTTGACGTTCTTAGATTTCAACTTTGTCTTTTTGCTCGTACACTTCTACAGCCTCCGTCCCAGCACATGCCAGCCGAGGCAGCCGTACAGGGCGCGAGTACCCCTCCACAGACACTCTAGCTCTGACGTATCAGCGGCGATGGCGGCGGCACCGCCGCCACCGGCAGCGCTACTGTCGCCGGCGCCGCCGCCCTCTTCGGAGCTGGCGGCAGCACACAAAGGACCGCTGGCCGGCGGCTGCGGTTGGCGGTTGGTCGTTGGACGCTGTTCCCGTTGCGACCAACAGAGCGCCGCCGCCAGCAGCTCCGTGAGACGAGAGTGTACGGCAGCCTCATGAGTTCCGCCGGCAGCGCCGCAGCACGGGCAACGCTCGAGGGCCGACGCGGCGGGTTGCCGCTGCCGTTGCTGCTGCGACGGCGGCAGTGGCGACGGCGGCGGCGCCACCGACGATGACAAGAGCTGTTGTTGTTGCTGCTTGAACGGCGACGGCAACCGCAACGGCAGCGCAGCCTCCAAAAGCCTCAGGAGTACCTCCAATTCATATAGCACCTCCGTACAACAGCTTCCGTACACCAACTGCAGCGCAATCAGGTTGTACGACATATACTGCACAGCGCCGTACACCAGCGCAACTAGCGGTTCGCTTTCTGCCGACGGCCGCGCATTGTCTGTTCTCGCTGACGATGACGGAGACGAGTATGCAGCCGTACGTAGGATCCCTCCGGCTGCTGCCGCCAGCTGGTGCAGAGTGCGGCCCATCAGCCGGTTGGTGTCCGGAAGCACTTGACGACGAAGCTCCGCTGCGCGTTGTAGCCGCCGCCAGGCGGTTAGCAATACAGCCGTCGGCGGTCTGCTGCCGCCGCCGCCGCCGCCGCCAGCAGCAGCGGCGGCGGCGGTAGCGGCATCACTGACGCTGTCAAACCCCATCAGGACATCCTCTCCCAGCACCGCCGCCGCCTCTTCTGCGAGCTCGTCCGCCGCCATCAGGGCTTCCGCCGCCGCCCCTTCCTCCGCCGCCGTCAGGCGTCGCCCGCACCGTACACAGACGCCGACGCCATTGTCGCCGCCGCTACGGTTGCTGCCCGTTTTCCCCCCAGCCTCAGCCGCCGCGTCGCCACCACCATCGCCACACAAAGCGCCGACCCGTGGGTCAATGGCCAGCACGGCGCCGGGCAGCTCTCGTTTGGCTGCTGCTGCTGCTGCCCGTGCTGTTGCTCCTGCCGCCGCCGCTGCTGCCGTACATCCCTGCTCTTGTTGCGTGTCGTCGCCTCGCCAGGTGCTGCAGCCAGGACACTTGAGTCCCCACAACGCCGCCTCCAGCTCTGCCGTATGGCCGGTGACCCGTGGGTCAGTGGCACAAGCATCACACCCGCACGAGAACGCATACTGGGCCTGCAGTGTTGGGGAGATGGTGTGTGATCCCCGCCATGGTTGCGGACAAATGGTGACGGAAGGTGAAGGGAGGGGGCTGTCAGCGCACAGCGGTCGTCACCGATGTCCCCGTCACCTCTTGAGCCGATCACCCCCCGCCCCACGAAAAAGAGACACACATCCTCAACCTAAGAACTGAACCGTAGTAGGATTCGAACAGCCGACGTCCTCCCACACACGGCCTTTACAGCGCCCCCACAGTCCGCGGTACCCGCCGCGACCCACTCGACCTGCAACGCCGCAACTCGCGAAGCCCGGGGCATCTTGCCCTGCTGGGGCCCGTAGCTGATGGTGAGCGGCTGGCCCGGGAGAACCTCCCGACAGCTGCGAGCCACCAGACGCAGCCCAAGAAACCTGTGGGAGTGGTTGGGTCGTTGTGGGTCGTTGTTGGTCGTTGTTGGTCGTTGTGGGTCGGGGGTAAGGATATCATGATGGTGGTGATGATGATGCGCATGTACCCCAACAATCCACGAAATTCTCATTCACTGCTTTGAGCGGTCGTGTGAGAGGGGTACAGCTAGAGAGCTTGGGAGCTAGGGAGCTAGAGAGAGAGAGAAATGGGGGGAGCTACATGCGAGGATGTTGTCAGGAGGTGTGCGTGTGTGTGGTGTGTGACGATATGACGGTAAAAGCGTTGTTTCCAGGGTTGCAGGGCGCAGTATGGCTCTGTTAGGAGATCCCTCCCCCCGCCTCCCCTCACTCTCGCCTCTGCTGCCCTTGCAATTATATAATCCATGCACCATGTAATTCATATATAAAACAGGGTTAAAACCCAGGATTTGGGTATCGACTGCGGCATACCCCGACTACACATCCCACCGCCGCCAAGTGCTCCTCGATCATCCGACTCGCATCCACGTAAACTCACACGTCTTAAAGGGCGGGACCCACCCACCTTAGCCCAAGGTTTGGCACGCAGCTGTGGTTGAGCAAGGCAGCGCGGGGATACAGCGCCAGCGCCAACCTGTCGTACGGTGATGTCATCACGTCAGGTCGTACGGCAATGCCATTGACCCGCACTCGGCACATCGTCAGGAAAATCTCACGCGCCGTCACCTCTGGCGGCCGTAGCCCCCCGACGGGTACGGCACCGCTCTGCAACCGCCGTCGCCGCCGTCGCTCCCGCCGCTGCTGCTCCAGATTTTCCTTCTCCTCCTTCTCCTCCTCCTCCTCCTCTTTCCCCTTGACAATATCATCAAGATCATCAAGATCATCAAGATGATCATCGTTATCATCATCATCATCATCATCATCTTGAAGCTCCAGAGGCGGCTGCAACCGTTGCCGGTGCCAACGCCGCAACGCCACGTGGCATGCGGACCGGTAGGCGGCAGCGGTTGTTGTCGCTAGTACGGCAGTACGGATGAGGTCATCAGTGCCCAGACTGGTGGTGTAGGTATGGGTGCAAGTGGCGGTGTGAACGTGGTTGTGGACGCGGTGGTCAAAGGGTGGTAAAAGGGAGCAGCACAGGAAGAAAGGGGGGAGACGGAGCAGTGAGAGGCGAGGCTGGGGCAGGGCCCCTTGGGAGGTTTCTAGGCTTTCGGAGCACCGTTCTCCCAACTACCAACCACCGTACGACTCCTCTATAACAACGAACCGTGGAAGTGGAAGAGTGGAGAGATGGGACACTTCCTATTACGCATTACCAAATATCAGAGCAGGGCCCCCTGTGAGTTCGATCAAACGAAATCGATGTTCCCCTCCCGCCTCTAAACCCACCACACACACACATACACGCACACACACAAACACAAACACACATACACGCACACGCACACACACACACACACACACACAAACACACACATACACACATACACACACATACACACATACACACACACGCACACATACACATACACACACATACACACACACATACACACCTCCCCACTCCGGCGGGTAGCCGTTATCAGAAGCACCGTAAGGCCCTCCTCGTCAGGCAACACAACAAAACAGCACACATGGCGGAAAAAAATATAGTAATGTAATGTAATGTGGCTAAAATGAATAGTAATGCAAAGCTGTCGTACTGTTCCCTTCTCCCAACACCGAGTCCACCTGTCACAGTGAGCCAGCAATCTGTCAAGAGCATTCCACGACGCCGCTGGCGTCGCTGCCGGCAGTGGTGACGACAACGACCCACGAGTCGGACAGTGTGGGTCTGGCGTGGCACCTGATGTAACGGCCGGCAGGCCTGGCGCCGCCGCCGCCACCGTCGCGGCCGCATTGCCCTCCGCTGCCGCTGGCGCCGCCACTACTGCTGCTGTTTCTGCTGCTGCTGCTGCTGCGGCGGCGGCTGCCCCCCTGACCAGCCTACAAGCCAGCATTGCCTCTTCAGGCAACACGTGGGACCAGGGAAGCCCGCACTCGCAGCCAGCCGGGGCATGGAACAAATCGTGATCTCTGCCGGGTTTGAAAAGTAATGACGATGGTGCGTATATGACGTTGAAGGGGTTTGGTAAAAAATATATATTGTTGTATTAAAGTAGTAATAATAATAAAACAAAGTGAAATAAATAAATTGTAATAATTATTATCACATATTTACAGCAACGTCGTATCATTCGTGCTTTAGGCTGTCACCGTACCTGCAGTACAGGCTGCAGTACATCGCCATCGGACAGTACAGACACGGGTACGACACCGCGCCGGGCTTGTCCTGCAGGACTGCCGTGCAACGCCAGCATCGCAATACCGAGTTGCTCGGGCTTCTGCAACCACCAACGCCGCTGCCGGCCCCGCCGCGACCGCGACCGCGACCGCGCCGCCGCCAGCGCTTACACAGCACCGCCGCCAAGGGACTGTCGTACAGTACGTCTGTGGCGGGCGGCAACGGTGATGATGCGTCGGGGGAGACGACAAGGTGGCGGCCGAGCTCTGATGTGTACGCCTCAACGATCCGTGTGTCGATTACGCGTCGTACTGGTAATCGCCTCTGCTCCACCTCGCCCTCGCCCTCGGGGGCCGCTCCATCCGCCCCTTGGAATTGTTTTCTTTCTCCTCCTCCTCCTGCTCCTCCTACTCCTACTCCTACTCCTACTCCCCTTCCGCTGCCGCTGCCGCTGCCGCTAGCGTTGCCTTTGCCGCTGCCGCCAGGAGCCTCCCCCTGTACGGCCGTCGTTCCGGCTGCGCTCCTCTGCCTGCTTCCCCCCTCCTGCTCCTGCCCCTGCGCCTTACTTCCTGGTTCCGGATCCTGACTTCCACCCCGATGCGGATCCGGATCAAGCTGCAGCTGCAGCTCTGCAAGCAACGCCGCCGCCTCGCCAACCGGTACGGCAGCTGTGACGGCGCCTCCGCCCTGCCCGCTGCTGCCGCGTCCCTTTCCGGCTCCCACAGCCGCCCCTGAGGCCAAGGAAGCTTCCACCGCAAGGGCTGTACGGCACTCATGTACGGCACCCCTCAGGTCACCGAGAGCTCTCCGGGCACAAGCGGCACGATAGTGGGCCTATGCGGGGGGTGGACAGTGACATAGACCTGTGCGGATGACGTGTATTTGTACGACTGCATGTGGCCGCGAGTTGCGTGTGCCGTGCGGATAAGTGTGAGCTAACAGGGGCCCAAGAATGGGTTGAAGATTATCTGACAGGGTTTGACCCGACTTGACAGGGTTTCACAGGATTTGACGGAATTTAAGGTCTTGCGTTTTTTGAGTAATAATTCTGTGATCGAGGAAGCAGATCGCGAACAGCGCTGCAACCGTCGAGCAGCACTAGCAGTAGCAGCAGCTAAGGCAGCAGCAGCAATAGCAGCTGTAGCAGCTACAGGACCCTGGCGTCGCGCATAGACTCCTTTAGGGAATTCACCCATCAGTGTATCGTACATGAGGCCCGTACTCTGCACGCAATACCTTAGAAAAGCTAGGGTCTGCGATGACGGCACAACGGGCGTCCGTTAAGGCTGACCGGGCCGCCGTCACAGCCGCCGCCGTCGCCGCCGCCGCCGTCGCCGCCGCCGCCGCCGGCGATGACGGCGACAACAGCGAAGGCGGTGATTGGGGATCAGATGACGTACAGCCCGACGGGGAGGACGCGGCAGTGGAAGACGAGGCGGCGATCGCGACTGAGGACGAGGCAGTGGTGCTGGTGGTCCTGCTCGTGGAGGCGGTCGCTGCTGCGTGCAGTCGCAGCAGTGCAGCCGCGCGGTTGCTGAAGAGGCGACTGGCGGCGGCACGGCCCGTGGGATGAAGCGCGGACTGGTACTGCAGAGCTTCTGTGGGCAGGTTTACGTTGGCGGGTGAGCGGAATGGTTTAGTTAGGTAGTTGGCAAGGTAGTTGGCAAGGTAGGTAGTTGGGGGTTGAGAGAGACGACGGGGTCTTAGAGGGAAGAGAGGAAGGGTGGGATGTGTTGGTTTGGAATCTGTTGGCAAAATACAGACAGAGACAGAAATACAGACAGACAGACAGACAGACAAACAGACAGGGAGACATGCAAACAAACGGGAAAGTAGGCAGGCAGCGGTTGCAGATAGATAATAGTGCATCGTGCCACACATTGTTTGTTGGGCTCACCTGTGTACGACTCCACTGCGGCGTCGTACTGCGCCTTTTGAAAGAACGCATTCCCCCTTGCCCTGGCCGCCTCAGCGAGGTGCTGGTCGGGAGAGCAACCCTGGTTGCGGTTTCGGGTCAATGGCCTTTAAAACGAGCAAAAGCGCGCGGTGGTTGATGCTGAAGGAATTGAGCAGCATTCGATTTATTGCTGTTGCGTTTATTCAATGTAGCAAAAGTTGTATAGGGAATTCGAAAGGGTGTGTGATGAAAAAGGGGGATATGGGGGTTACCCGTCTGGCGGTTGTAGGAAGATGGGATTGCGAAGGGGAAAAGGTAGGTGGGGCAGGGCCAGGAAGTAGTAAGGTCCGCGTCAACTACGCACAGTTCGCCCAGAGTGTGCAAACTTCTCCCGTTGAGTGCTAATCGGTCGCCATCCCGGTTTACTGCCGAGGTGCGCTCCGAAACCAACCTCAACGTCGTCGCCAGTTAGCTGTGATACTACCTCCGCAAAGACCTCTGGTTGCGATAGTAGTGCACGCTCCACGGCTTCCAGGACGCGAGCGACATCTCGGCCGGAAAGAGCCTCGGCCACGAGATGATCAGCAGTCGCGAGTTGTTCAAGCCGCTCAAGCATCTTGAATTATCACTTTGTGTTGTGTTACTGAGTACGCAACGTCTTTCTCGCACCCATACGGAAGGACGTGCATCTCAATCTGACTACAGAATTGGACCAAACAAGTTCGTTGGAGACAATCATACATCCGCAACTGTGGCCAGTAAATTAAACATCATGCTTCCTTATGAATCTCTCCGCCTTTTCGTTAATGATGACTGGCTCCGCAGCGCAAGGTGCTCCAAGTTCGGGCTCCCGCTCGCGCTCCGAAGGAAAACCTAAACCGTTTTCTCGGAGGCCATCCATCAAGAAAACTTTGACACGTACATAAACATCGGATCATCAGGATCAACTCGAGGCGTTGTCCAACCCAGGAGCCGCGCAAGCAGCAGTGCGGGAAAATAAAAGCGGACCAACGGGTCCGTGCGCGTTTTTACGTCAGTCCCCATCCCTTTCAATCTCCCCCAAGCCAGCTGTCCGCGCCGCCTTTCGTAAATAATCACCAAAACAGATTTGATGAAAAGACAAAACGCACACATACCTGACCCAAATAGGTCACCAGATAACACGCAGTGACCAAAAGCTGTCAAACGCCTCTCGCTGATGCTATAAGACAGTATAATATATTTCCTTAAGTCGCTTAATATTTCCTGAGACTGCATTACGCCACATCACATCGATTGGGATACCGCACCTCAATGATGGCTGAGGACAGCGATTTGGGTTCGCAGCTTGGTCCGCTGGCTTTCTGCGAGCGGCTCCCAGTGCCCATTCTTTCCTCCACCTTTAACCTCCTAGCTGTCCTGGCACTGCCCCATCTGCTATATGCATTCGTGTGGCTGACACCCGGGGTGTGGCGACGCGCCTTTGGCAAGAAATCCGTGCCTGTCTTCGCTTGGCTGGGGGCTGCTGGAAAGGGTGAGTGCGGGCGCTAGGAGCCTGCTTCGGCGGATGGGATGTGCTTAACTTGTTTGCACCTCTTTTCCTGTGCATATTTCGTTTTTAAACGAAATATCGCTCGCCTAGATTTTAAAGCTTTTTTGGTATTGTTACAGAAAAAAAGGTATAAGGATTGGAACAATTTGCAGTTGAGATATTAAATCAGCCATTGTTATGAATGGTGATAGCCGTGTCCCGACGACTGTGTGTGTGTAACTCCCCCGTATCTAACCCAATAAGGGGCTATGGAACGGCGGAATGTACTTGCCGGCATCCCGGCCTGACAACGGGCACCGACATCACTAATGCTACAGCAACCAATAGTTCATCCAATTTAAGTTTTCACGGTCACGAAAAAACATGTGCGGGGGTTCTGTGGCGCACGAAGGGCGCATCCCCCAACGGTCTGAAACCAACGGCCCCAACCGCGGCGATCCGAAGATCAGGATTCTGATGTAACATGCTGACTGGTCAGACATCGCCATGTCGTATCGTACGATTTGGTACGACAAAAGTTGTGATCACGCACACAGATTCCCATTCCCCGCCGGCCCTCTTCTTCCCCGCAGTATTGCAATTTAGCAATGTGTTCTTGTGGGCCTGGTCCTCCCAGCCTTCGGGTGTGTGTCTCCGACACCCCATGACGACGTGGCAGGTGCTGCTGGCACTTACTTTGGTAGTGTACGGACAGGTACGGCACGGCTTCTCTATGTAAGAAAGGATTTGGGCACTGGTCATGGTGTACATGTTACCGCTGAAGGTGCGACACTCGTTTCTGCACTTGTTTCCGAACCTTCATTCATATCCGAGACGTGCTCACTTTTAGTCGTACCCTCCATCTCCATTCGTCCCACCCTTAAGTAAAAATATCGCATACTGTACGGCTGGTGTGGACGGCGTTTGGTCCCTTAGGCTTTGAACATCGGTACATACCGGGCCATTGGCGTCACGGGAGTCTATTACGGCAGTCGCCTGGGTCGCAGCGTCCCGTGGGTTAACGAGTGGCCCTTCAGTGCCGTACCTCATCCGCAGTACGTGGGCAGTACGATGAGCATCTGGGGGGGAGTGGTGCTCCTACACGCTGCGCTGCCGCTGCCGCAAGCCTTGCTGGCGGCGGTGTTTTGGACCGCGCTGTACGGCATTTCAGCGATTCTCGAGGATTACTTTTGAGCAGAAGGACAAGGTGTCACAGCACATCTACAGTGCTATAGACGTACCCAGCACGATACATTCTCGTGCTGGCTCGTGCGAAAGGCGAATCATGACCTGGCTTGGTACACCGCCGTACAGCCGTACTGCCGTATTCAGGCCGTACAGTTCCATGAGCGGGGTTTCGGGATCACGACGACATTGGATGGGAACATTGGAGGTAGACTTCTTGCGTGGTTGTGAGGGGTATGGTACCGACGCGGCGAGAGCTGAACGCAGGTCTTTTCGTTATGATCAGGCTTCGCAGCCCGGCGTCCGCTCAATTTCGCTGCTGCAATAACCCCAAAATTGCACGGACTGGGAAACATTACCTTCACATGTTTACATATGTGTTTGGAGCACTTGGGACATGTTTTAATGGGTCGGCATGGGTGCAGATTTGTAAAATGAATGGAAACCTGCGTACACATGGAGATTCAGTCGTACCTCTAGGTCGCCTCTAAAGGTACGGCGTCGTACAGCAGGGTAATGCGTTCACACCCTTTACTATGCGCATATCAAAGTGACGTGTATCGGTCCAGTCCACAGGAACCCCCCGAGGCCCCCGTATTTACATGGCACCAGGATGCGCCCACATGCACATGCACATGCACATGCACATGCACATGCACATGCACATGCACATGCACATGCACATGCACATGCACATGCACATGCACATGCACATGCACACCACACCAGCGTCTGCTATTATTATTACGATTACCATCATTATCACCCATATGCACAGAAGTCCAGGTTCCGTGGGTGGCCTTTCTTAGGATTCATGATTTTTTCACATACCAGGCTGAAGAACAGACACAATGACAGGGTCTCCACTGTGGGGTCGTTGCGGCATACCCTTCCTCAACATCCCCTACACCGCCAGAGAGACCCAAACGTCACCAGCCAGAGGTTGGATGCAATGACCTTTCGATGGTTCTTCTGAGCTCTCTTGCGGACTGCTCCTTTCAAACGTCCTCTTGAGTCTCTCACAACTATACCTGTACAACTATACCGCACACTCGCGCGTTCATGGTGCTCCCTCCTTGCCGCGAACTGGGTCCTCGATGTCGTCGACGAACCCAGCACATCCCCACAGCAGCGACCTCACATGTCAGTGTCGGTAACCCCTCGGTACAGGTACTGTTATTGTATACTGTAATTTTAGTTTACTCGGATTACAGTATACAATAACAATATTTTCCTCCTGGAAATGTAGATCCAGAGATGCATGGCGCGTCCGGTCGTGTCTCCAACTCCGGTGCCAGCCAAATCCTCCTTGCCTTGCTTCCCACAACCTGCATTCATTTGTGCTGCCTGCGCTGCGTGCCCCTCGCGAATGGTTGCATTGTGTTCCCCCCCACTGCTGAACCACTGGAATCAGAGGCATGTATTATTTGACCCCCTCCCCTTCATCCCCTTGCAGATCCCCACCGTCTTCACTTTCCCTCTCCTCTCTCACAGATTATCGATTTCCTTGATAGTACGTACAACCTCATTTGGATCCCGGAAGCTAACGACTTGCTCGACAAGGTCCGCCGTTAAGTCATTCCAGCAGCGACCTTTCTTAGGATTCATGTTTTCAGGACTAAAAATAGTCAGGTACGCAAGGACGCAAATCGCAACGTCTGTCGTAGTGGTCTTTTGCAACCGTTGCAACAATCGTCCGGATTCATCACACGTTACGTGTGATGAATCCTTATTCTAACCAGGAATGCACGATTGGGGCTGAAACAAGTAAGAGATACCGACACCGTCACAGAACATTACACTATGGAGACATTGCGCTTTTTAGTTGAAGTGAGATTGTGGCGGTTTTCGTACAAACTGCCTGCCCGTCGGGCGGTGCGCACGGGGAATATTAGCCGCGGACGATATTTTCTCCCAGGCACACGCACCTTTCAGGGTAAAAAGCATGAATTGTATTTACGTATGTAAAATGTATACTGCTACTTCGCAAAAGCAGTGTTAGACGCAGAACGCAAGGCCCATTGGAAATAGTGATGTCGTTGAGCAGTGAAGCCCTAAACCTCCAAGTTTGGTCCAAAGCCGTCAAGCGCATCTTTAAACAGGTGCAACAATGTTCTTTTAACACCACCAACCCAGACCACAAAGAGGCGCCAGCGTGCAGCCAGGAGTCCGCTGAAGGCAGCGCAATTTTTGGAGTCGTGAGGATAGCTTGCGAAGGGGTAACTTAAACTCAGCTAATTTCTTTAACTACTCCTATCACACCTGGGGCATTTTTTGAAGCTTGAAGTCTAGAAGTACAAGGCAAGGCGCTGCCATGCAAGCAGGGCGCTTTGCTGTGTTGCGCAAACCATACCATGCACGAGTAAGGCATGTCGGTGGGGCTCGGCAAGGACATGCGGGCTTTCCTTGCGGCGGTCGGCATTTCGTCGTTACGGGTTTCGTGCCCGGAGCGTTGGGTAACACGAGGCCCGTCCCAGGCCAAAAGGACATGGTAAGTTTAGATGAACATGCAGGACGCCCATCGCGATCTGGGTTTGCAGCACACGCCAACCGTTGGGGGATGTCGGAGCGCGAGCCTGTAACGCTATGCAGCTCCTCCTGGCCAGCGTACGTTTCGCAGCCTAGTGACTTCAGGGTGCCTCCTTCCTGCGTTACATGCTGCCATATTACTAGAAACTGTTCAGCGCACCGCGTAACTTCTCCGTATGGCGTGGTCATCCTGGCCATTGCAGACCGCGGAGCTGCTCGAACGAGCTTTCGAATTGGCGTTGAGGTCACGGCTAAAACAGCACTCTGGTATTCACGTCGATGTCCGGTCGACGGCTTGGGGTTTGCTGGAGGGCAAATTTGGGGGGATGACCGTCCGCGGCTACAATTGGCGAACACCCCTGGCGCTGACTGCCGAACAGCTGACGGTAGACGTTGGCGAGCTCATCTTGGATTACCAAAAGCTGGTTTGGCAGCAAACTGTCGCGCTGAAAAATATCCCGCAGGTGCGGAATGCTGGGATTTTCCTTCAGCGCCAGCCTGCATGCCCAAGGCCTGCTGCTGTCACTCCCTATCCAAGACATCTGCGCTGCACTTTCTCCCGGGACCTTTTGCACATTCTCTGTCCGTCCAACTATGTCCTCTCCCCCCTCTCCCTCCTTACCGTTTTTCATCCCTCCATGTGGTTACCACCTGCCTTCGTATACTGCCGCCCTCCGCCCTCGCTTTCCCCCTTCCCGCTCTTAACCTTGTACCCGCGTCGCCTCCACTCTTAACCCCACCTCCAACCTCAACCTCAACCTCAGGGCTCCGTGGCATTTACGCTCACAAGTCAGGACCTAGCAAACTTCATGGTGCATCCCATCATGGTAGCAGCGGCGGCCCGAGCGGTCAAGGTAAGCCAGGTTGCATGAAAGACGGCAGGCAGGGAAAAACGTAGGCATAAAAGGTTTTCTCTGCTTCAAGGAGAATATTTAGGATTCTTCTTGCCGTGTCGTGCAAATGCTCTCAAGTCATCGCTCAATCCCGGGCCAGCAAACGCTGCAACCTGTCTGCAAATACCTGCTTACGCAGGGCCACTCCTTCGCCTTTGATCGCAACACTGCCAGCGTCCGACTGGACCCCCCGACCGGCCGCGGCGTTATCACCTACGAGGGCACCTGGGCGGGCGACGGCCGTCGATACGCCGTCACCATGAGTACACCACCGCCGGCGCCACCGCCTGCAGCGGCAGCGGCGCGTGGTAACGGCGGCATCGCCACCGTTGCAGCCTCCTCGAACACCCTGGAACAGCTCACGGTATCCGCCAGGCGTGTCGTACCGGCGTCAAAGTCGACCACGGGAAGCTTCGCCTCCGTTGGCAGTGCGGATGAACCCCTGGCAACGGCGGCCAGAACGACGGTTACGGCGGCGGAGGCGACAGTCGTCGGGCGATCCGGATCCGCTGGGAGGGTCGTCCAGACGCTAACGGTTGCGCCAGCGGCGCTGCCGTACGGCGCTGCTGTGGCAGCCGACGCTGGCGCCGGCGCAGTAGCGTTGAGCGCTGCCAGCGCTGGTTCAATGGACGACCCGGACGTGGATGCGGGGGCTGAGGTGGTGGCGGAGGGTTTACGGCGTTTTTTCAGCAGCCTCGTGATCAACTTACAGGTGCGGATCCTGGAAGGTCCTGGAACTGCGGTCTGGTTCTGTGCTCTGTAAGCCGGTGTCCCTGTCAAATCCTAGGATATGTGGGAGGCGTCGTTGTTGTTTCTGTGTCCTGCTCCTTGCTGCATGTTTTGCTTTTTGGCTGCTTGCTATGCTTTTACTGCTGCTTGCTACTTAGTCCGCAGATTTCCTGATCGCGGCCGTTTCAAAAGTCGGAATCGTACTTTTGCTGTTCGTTCGCTTCCGTCCTTTGGGAATGGCACTGTCTCCGAGTCCACTGGAGAAGGGACTGGGAGGAAAGGTGCCCTCTACGGGCCTTGGGTTGCAGCTCCGACCGGAAACCTATCACAACGTAGTCTAGGCGCCCTCCTGCCGGCATGTTTCGCTTATGCGTGACGCGTTGCGTGTGCCTCAGAACCCCCGATACGCTGTTGTATGCATGCAGGGGATTGAGCTGCGCAACCCAGTGCTGCTCGTGCAGCAGATTCCGGGACCGTCGGGAGCCACGGGGGCCAGGGCGGGAGCGGTGCGCGGCGGAGGCTTCACCGCCTCACCGTCTCAGTCACCACCACGGCAAAGACTCCGTTCTGCGGCTAGGCCCACGCCCACACCCACGGCCCACACGCCCGCGGCGATGGCAATGGGAAAACTGCCGCCGACGTCGTCTGCGTCCGCGTCTTCCTCGTCCTCGTCGCGGACTACTGCTGGGGCAGGAGTGGAAGCAGGGACCGGGCCTGGGCCTACTCCAGGGAGGTTGGATCTGGTGCCCGCGCTGCTGACCATCACCATGAAGGTCGCGATTCTACAGCTGCCGCCGCTGGACATGAAGTTCTGAGCAAGGAGTTTTTCCCTCGTTCACCTTGATATAATTTACAATATTGGTCGTCCTAGGTGTTGGTGCTAGAATCTGAAGGAGTAGTGCATGAGAAGAAGACCGTCTGGTCACGGAAATTCCACACGTCTCTGGGCATCGAAAGCCCCGGCCGCACTTTGCGTTTCTATCCCAGCCATGACCTGCTGCGCTCGTGGGTCATCGTCTTTTTGCGTCTTGTTCGGCGCCCTGGCTTAGGTTCCGTCAGTGCCTATCTGCTCCGGCATTTTGAGTTATGTCGGAGATCAAGTTTATTTAGCCGCTGCCCCATTACTTCTCGGGCGTGGAAAACTGTTCATGTCGTTATGTGCATGCATGTGTGTGCGTGTGCTTCGTGGCGGCGGCCAGCGGGGCATGGCGGCCGCCTGTTGGCACCATGTGTTTCTGTGTACGGGGTTTTCTCTGCGCGTGTGTGTGAGAGAGATATAATTAGAGGAACATCGCACGTATTTATGTACGTATGTCGAGTATTTCATTGGTTCATTTTTGTGAGGGGCGGCGGAGGGGTAGGCGGATCTGTATCCGGAGGGATGTATGTATGTATGTATGTATGTATGTATGTATGTATGTATGTCCTGGGTGCTAATGGCGCTGAGAGATGCGATATGCGCAGAAATTGTGGCATGAAGCAGGCTGCACGGGTTGTTCTTTTCGGTGTGCTGGTGCTGGCGCTGGCGCGGCCATCTATTTGCATAGTCACTTCGCATTCGCATTCGGCTGGTTGACATTGCAGTGTAGCGTAGCGCAGTGTGTACCGCAGGACATGAACAATATCCGAGAACAATGTGCCTCGTCCTGATACCGGTACAAGCTTTTTTATACTGTAAATACGGAAAACGGGGCCCCGATGCGCAGTTGGAGGGGCGTGTGGCAGTATTCCGCGGGTGCACATGATGCGGAATGCTAATATATACAGGTTATGAGGTTAATGAAGTAGGCCATAGACATGTTTGTTGCATGCGGAAGCCTTAGTGAACGTTTCTTTTGAGTGCTTATGGAGGGGAGTTCTGTTTGTTTGTTTGTTTGTGTTTTTCAATCTTGGTGCAGCATTGCTGCTGTTGTCGTCGTCGTCGCCATCGTCGGAATGAGGACCGGTTTTCGAGGTTTGCTGCCTGCGTGCTGTTTTACCTGACGCGGGGACCTCTATTCTGCCGGCCGCCGCGGCCTTAAATCAACGTCGGACGGTAAGAGTACCTCACCGACGCTTTTGTGTCCTGTTTAAGCCCCTTGAAGAGGAGGCAGTTCCGCAGGGAATGGAGAGCGGCCATGGTTTGATTTTTGGGGGCCCAAAGGCCCCGGGGGTCACTGCTGTCAGTCAATCAGTCAGTCAGTCAGTCAATCATGATGAACTCGCATGCCACGCTGAACCTAAAAGCTAGTACACATCTCCAACGATCACCTTTTAAAATAGTTTAGCTGTAATGCTGAAGTGTCGTGTCGTCCATTCGCTCGGGGCCAGGTCCAAAGCAGCACGTAGTGTGAGAGGGCTTTCCGCGGCGAGTAGTGTGTGCGATTTGTTCATGTCAAAAATGCAGGGATCTCAATGGAGCCCCATGATACATCTCACGTACCCCTGCCTACATCCCAATCCTACTCTTTCCCATCCGTATCTCTGTGCCCCACCGCCCGCCGCATCCTGCCCGCTAACCAGGGCTGTCCAGGCCTCAGCTACTCCTATTACTGGCAGTACCAGTTAGACAGGCGGAAGACCCAACCTAGATACATCTGTGAGGAGGTTAAGCGGCAGTTGCTCTGTATCTGACTGCCGTCAAGTGAAGCGTAAGCGGTGATCTTGGCTGCCCTGAAGAGATTGTACACAGAACATAAATACATAATATAACGATTGTACACTGAACTATTCGGTGTTCTTCGTGGGCTCCAGCACATGCAAGAGATGTGACCTCGGTCGAAAGAGTAGATAATCCACATAACAGTTCAAAAGTTGAACCCAATAATCATGACGAATGAAACTTGGCTGGTTTTCCTCAAGTCGGGAAAGCTGGTTCTGGAGCATCGATGCGTACTGATGGTTGAGAGGGTGGTAGGGTTGCGGGTAAGTCACCAACCTTGAGACTTACGCACTGACATTTAGTTGTGTTTACAATAATCAGTACGTGTCTCTAGTCACGTACACAAACTCCATATTCATTCCGCATAAGATTTACCTTTCCCAGGCAGGAGAATGTTGGGCCCCGCAAGCGTTCACCGGTTGACCAAAAAAGCTGCTGCAAGGTCTTTATGTACTCAACAATCAGCCCGATGTTTTCGTGTTAGCGCGGCAGCTGTCGATCCGAATGCGCAAGCGTCGGCATTGCGACAGGAGGACTCTCCCAGCCCAAGGGAAGCCCGTCATGTGGCGGCCTGCATTTCTGCGATTGCAGCTCAATTAATTACTGCAAATGTGGCATGGTCGGATGTTCCTCAGGATGAGCTCTTCTCACTGCAGGTTCGGATGTTGCCACGGCTGTCCTGGTTTCTGCAGCTCGTTGCTGCTATATCAACATTGCCAAACGGATATATGAAGCCGCATTGTGCAATAATCGTTAAAGCATGGCTCCTGTGTTTCCTTTTGGGTGAAACCAATGCTTGCTTCTCGGACAGGCTGCCCAACCGCTGACGGTGCTTTCTTCAGACGTATCAGTTGGTGAGATACTATCTTAATTTCCTTATGATGGTAACTCAATTTTTTCGTTGCATTAAAAGTATGGTTTTCCCTCTCGCACTCATGCTCCGTTGTCCTACGACCATATGCAAGATACGAGCGCAAACGCCCAACCGCTTATCCTAACCGAGGAGCGGCCGACCCTTGCCGCCATAATCCCCGAGCCCAGTGTCAGTAGCATCAGTACCAGTAGCAGCAACAGCAGCAGCAGTAGCGACAGCGACAACATTGCAGATGCCACACTCCTTGTAGCCGTCGTTGCCGAGGAGGAGCAGCCCGATGGCTCATCCGCTTCCACAACGCCGTCCCTGCAGCTTGCGTCGGCCCCTGCGTTTTCTTCTTCCTCAGAGTTGGCCGAGGCGGCTGTCGCTGACGTCGCCGCGGCCGCCGAGCTCGTAGAGCCCTCCAAACCCTTTCAAATCGCGGCGGACCTTGCGGCGGAGACGGCGGAGACGGCGGAGACGGCCACCCCTGGCGCCCTCGAGTCTGATAAGAGTGCTGCCCCGGCCCTGGCCGCAACCATTGTCGCTGCAGCGGATGATGCTCTGGCTGCCGTTGGCGCTGATCGCCCTGCCGTGTTGGCGGTAGTGGATACGCCCGCAGAGCCAGCTGTCGCCAGCCCGGTGGTTGCGATGGACATCCCGGCAATGCCAGCGATCAATGCCGACACTGATGTGCAGGTGTGGCAGTCCGTACACGGCACCACGAACGAAAGGGATCCTTCTGCGGGTCCTTTCTCTTCTGCTACACGCCCTGTCGGACTCTGCTCTTCATTTCCCGTCTTGTTTTGCTGCGTATATTCCTTATGTATGTAATTTATTATTTATTAAAGGTATATCGAGCCTGACACCGAACGCCGTACATGCCGAGTCCTCAACCCTTTCCTCCTTACAACCTTTTCCTCCTCAAATGCTGAGTGTCCCCCGGTCCCGTCCCATCGCTTCCTGGACCTTTCCAGACGCTGGTGGTGGCTCTGATCCGCAACGAGCAGTTTATTTCCGCGCTGGTCAACAACGAGGCCTTTCTGGATCGACTAGCCGGAGAGGACCGGGTGGTGGAGGAGCTGGCGCGGCGCAAGGGCTTGAGCGTCGAGGTGCGTTTTGAACTCAAGTTCTTACCAGAAAAATGTTGAACGCGGCAACAATCGTGAGATCAATGCTAGGTTTGAGCTTTTGCGGAAAAAAAGTTCATTTTCTGCTGCAGTCCCACCAGGAGAAACGCTCCCCTGCTGCGAAACAGCCTGGGGGCCTGGGGTGTTGATGATTATTGTCGCAGCTGCTCACAGAGGCGGGCGACTGTGCAGGTGCAAGCGTGGTGCCCATCGCCTTGAAGGAACATTGATAAGGGGAGTCCTGCCCAGTTTGTACTTGGATGGCTAACGCTGGTCTTATTATGTCGTTTCTATTTAGGTGCGCTGGCGCCTGCCGAGTCGTAACCTGGGCAGGACTCCCCTGTTCAAACCTCGTCCATGGCGACCAGCACCACACTTCTGTTGCCGGCCACTGCAACCGGGAGCTACGATAATGTTGACTTCCTTCGCAGGCTGTTAGGGCTCTAGGGAATTTGCCTGTAAAACAGGAGAATCTCTCTGTTTGCGTCTGGGGGACTTGGACTAATGAAAAGGTCTTCAAGGTGAAGTCCTAGGGCTTTCGTGCCCTGGTGGTGTCGTGGTGGCTATTGGACCCGCTGGTTCAGGTGGAGGCGCGCGACGAGCTGGCGACGGAGCTGCGGCGGCGGCAACAGATGATGGACGCTCTGGCGGCACGTGGCGAGGAAGCCGTACTGGCCGTGGCCGACGCCGCCAAGCGGGCGGCGGAGGAGGCGTCGGCGGCGGCGCGCAATGAGACCATGGAGGCTGACGTTACCGGGGAGGTGAGGGTGCAGCCGGTGGCGCCGTACTGGATGTTAATGTGTTGCAGTGCTTGGCGGCTTTCGTACGGCTCGAAGAGAGCAACGCGACATCTTCAGCATGTCGGCGGGGAGTTTCGCACAAACGCGAATCTCTCAGACCCAGCTGCCAGCTTTAAGGATATATCTTATCTTACAGTTCGAGATATATCTTTTCCCAATGGCCTTCGTAGCTGCTTTTGCCTCCACCACCCAGTATTGCAGCGGGCCCTCAACCATTGGGACGAGATCCGACACGCTGATCAATGTCGCTTCGCGACGTTTCTTCTTCCCCTTGTGAGGATTCACACCGGTGCATTATGTTTCTGCGTTTTTTATCTTGAATGACATGTACAACATGTACGACATGTACGAGCGTGTGTCCGTACGCGTCCATGCGGCACAGGTGGGCGTGGTCTCCTCAGGCAAGTCGGCGCTGGTGGCGATGAGCGCCGCGGTTGAGCTTCTAGAAGACAGCCAGGAGCTTCTGGCGGCAATCGGTGAGTGGGGTAGGGGTGCGCGTGGGGTCGGTGGGGGACGTGGGGGTTTGGCTGCAGTGGCGGTGGAGTGGCTCGTGGTTGCCTCACCGGAAGCAGCACAGGTGCAGAGCAGGACAAAAACATAAATTAAACAGAAAACAACAGCAATGCTGTCATCTGATATCGTCAGTTGTCAGTCGAGTGCTACCAGCCCCTCCTCCTGGGCTCCTACGGCGCTATAGGATAAGTAAGTGGTCCAGCAGGCCGGCTTGTATTTGCGTCATCGGTAAAACCGTTGCGTGTTGTGATAATAATTATTGGGATTGNNAAGNNCANGNANGNAGNNNACANNATGGCCTTAACAATCCCAATAATTCCTCTCGCTTGCTATCTATCCTGCTTCTATGTGTTTTTAGCTGCTTACTGCCGTACATGTACCTTTTTCCGTACCTGGCCTCGTGCTTGCAGAGGCCAATCCCGGAAGCACCCCGCTATCCGCCATTATGGATGATGACCAAAAGCTGCAGCGCGAAATGAGCGTGATGGAAGGTAGGCTGGAGGGGCTCATGAAGCGTGTGCGCGTCTCTTAAGTTAGGGTGCGGCATCCTTGACGGCCCCAGCCAACACTTAACCCGCCAGGATGACCAAGACGGGTTCGACCTTTTGTAAGCATTTCTTGTCGTAATTACGACGACGACGATGGTCATAACCATTTCATTTCGCTGAGGGTTTGTGATAATTTTTGACATTTCTAAATAATTCCATACTTCTGTGACCATTTTGTTTCCGTGATCGTTCCATTTGGGTGGAAATGTTTGACCTTTGCAGCTGCGGTGGCGCGTGCGGAGAACTCTGTGAGCAAGACGCTGGGGAAGAGCGCCGCGGAGCAGCTGCCCGCGATCCAGGTGGGCTGCTCCTGATGGTCTGTGTATGTTTGTATGTATGTTTGTATGTATGTGTGTGAATGAAGGGGGGGACTGCGGGAAAGCTGTGACTGTGGGAATGAAGGAGGAGGAAGGGGGAGATAGGGATGGTGGGGCGGAGAGACAGCACGCGGCGTGGTGTAGCGAAACTTTCTTTTATGTCTTCTTGTCTTCCCAGCGTGTGTGCGCCTACCTGGCTGATTCTGCCGAGCTTAAATGACGAGATCATCCATTTCCAGTTCGGACTGGCCCTACCTTCTTCATTTCGGACTTCGTTGCTGTCGACTCAACCTGCGGACCCCACCGGGTGTGCGTCTGTATGTGTATGTGTTGTCGCGTGTCATACAGGACGCCGTACGGGAGCTATATTCTGGAGGCGAGCAGCAGGACGAGGTGGCGATCAACCGGGCTTACACCGATCTGGTGACGGCCGTGGCGGAGATGCAGCGGGCGTACGGCACCGCCATTTCCAAGGCGGTGGGACATGCTGTGGCGGAGGTGGTGGAGGTGGAGGAGGCGGCGATTAAGGGTGCGGAGAAGACAAAGGTGCTCCTGGGCCAGAAGGTGCGGTTCTTTGGATGGTGATGTGTGGTGTGGAATGGTGTGGCCTGCGACGGCTGCGATAGCAGTAAGAGCTGGTTGCCGATGCCGATATGTGGGATGTTTGTATGTGATGTCTGTATGCGATTTTTCAAGGTTGGTACAGGTAGTGGTACAACGTGGGCGATTATGGGTTGTATCAGGTTGGTGTGGCGAATGTGGTGGAGTTGTGCCGCTGATTGCATTTTGGCCGGATGTTAGTTTTCGGTGAGCCAGGCAGAACATTTGCATTTTTTGGAATCTGTTGTTGACTGTACGATGAATGCGCCGGAGACCACAAATGTCGGTCGCGGTTGGACCAAGTGGGACGTCTTCAACTGCGATGGCTAAATTTTATTATTAAATAATTCGGAGCCTGTTGGAAACTCCGAGTAATGAGGTAGCGGCGCGCTGTATGTTACGAAAGGTTCGGCGTTGAATTTCGGTTGGAAGTGTTTTCGTTGTGGCCTGTCGTGTCGATGGATTGTCATCGCATGCCAATAGCTGCACTAGTTCACATAAGCAAGACCACATGCGGAAATGTTGGTGGCGACACATGTGTGCAGCCCCTTGGACTCCTCGTGGTGAAATTTGAAAAGGAATATGTGTCGCGGCTTAACATGCGTTTGCGATCGGGTGACGAGGATCTCAAAGTGAAAGTAATATTGACTTATTTTTTGATACGGAATGAGAAAGTGAGATGAAGTGAGATGTGTGCAAGGGAGGTGGTGTGTGTGTCTTTTTTTATTCTATCTGAGTGGACTGTTGTAATATAAAATTATGTGTATGTTCCTCCCTTATGGCATTGTTTTACTATTTGGCATATTCTTGGTCAAATGGTTTTCATTGGCTGGAAGAAAGAATGGGTATGGTATGGTGACTTCAAAACGAGTCTGTTTGCAGCCTGGTGCAGTCAATCGTATGGCTTTCACTCATCCCTCCGGGCGTGGTAACACTGAGATCTTACGTTTTTGTTTGTACGCGGCGGCGGGCCACTGTAATGGTGATTATAACCTTCACGACTTAGCCATGGGCTGCAACACATTAGTGTACTACAACGCACCGTTCGGCACAGGCACCAAACTGGATAGGCTGTCCTATCCGAGCAGTATGCGCACGCGGTCTTGGAAACTAGTACTAGAAAATGTTATCAACGTAACAATGTGCGGCCCCGTAGGTCGAGGAACTGGAGAAGGCTGTGAGCTTCAATTCGCCAGCCACCAGGAGAGACGCCATCATTACCCAGGAGCCTGCTACTGTCGCGACAAACACGTCGGGGACTAACTTGACAAAGGAGCAAGATGTGGAAGCGTCAGGGCTGAAGTTCGCGGTGGTGGGTGCCTTCCTGTTCTGGTTTTGGGGAACCTTTGTTCAGCCGAAGTCTAGGTACAGCAGGTAACCGGATGATGCAAGAATACCCTAAGGGAAAGGAGTTTGAACGTACCTGGTGGTAATCGCACGTGTGGTGTGTACGATGGTGGAGGATGTGTGTATGCTCAAGAGTGTATTGTAACGAGACGTATTTTGTGACAAAATGTAGAGCATACACGTTGTAAATTGTGGATGCTGGTTGGTTATTAAAAGTGTTGTGTCTAACATTTAGACATTTGAATAGTGTGCATGGCTGTTTAGCGGTGGCCTTTGCGTAACAGGATGCAATCTTGGGGTTGCAAACCAAGGGTATTTCATAAAACCTATCTGTAACAAGTCATTTACTGTAGTTAGGTCCTTCGATGTAGTGCGGTCCTTCTAATGTGCTTTCCCCCCTGCCCGGTAAAACAAAGATGTGGCACGCTGACTACCTAACATCCCTGAAAAGCCAAGTTCCGCAAGAGAAATCAGCACATCCCTTAGGAAGAATCATAGGGTGCGAGGGAAATGGGATATCCATGGCTAGATGTTTACAGACGACTGCCGAGAAGTAACAAGCCGCGCTTAACACACGGAACCCGTTTAGTCGAACAGGGAGAAGCCCATGTCCTGCACGGAAGGAAAGGGTGTGGAGCGCAAAATCAGCTGCACATACAACTCGCACCTCTGGAATACTTACAGGTCTACTACATACAGATGAAATGCCTTGCAGCATGACATTCAAAAAATCCAGACCCAAATACCCAAGCTTCTAGACCATCCACTGCATACACCGCCGTGACACCACGCTTACCTCCTCCTCGCTAGGCTCCTTCTTCTCCTCCTTCTTAGGAGCGGCAGCAGCAGCTGGAGCCGCGCCACCAGCAGCCGGAGCCGCGGCAGCGGCAACAGCACCACCGGACGGCACGGAAGCCAGCTTGGCGCGGCCGGCGGCGAGGACCTGCACGTCCGTAAACAAGTCAATTGGATTCCAAAAGAACATTACCCTTTGAGCCTGCACACCCATTTAGTCGTCAACTTGCCTCCTGCAAATCCTTGCCCTCCAGCTCCGAAATGAGCTTGTTGACCTTATCAGCGTCGGCCTCAACACCAACTGCAGACATCAGCAAATGGTATAAGATTCAAAGAACTATTGGAAGCATTAAGTTCTGCCGCGAGTCCAAACGATACGAGCCGCCATCCGCTCACCGGAGCTCAGAATCTTGTTGATATCATCGGCGGTGGGGCTGGCCTTGCCCCCCAGAACCGCCTGCAAAGAAAGGTGTAGATGATTAGATGGGTGTTCACTATTTGGCCTAAAGTCCGAGCACTGCCCCTAACCTACCAGCAGGTAAGCGGAGACCACACGCATTCTCGCGGGATCGATTTAACCGACTGTACCGTCTGGCTTACAGCGAAAGGAGAAAGTAAACGGGGTAGCGCCCTGCCAAATAAGCGAATGACTGTCTGGGCCCTGCGGCTGTACGATGAACATGGTTGCTTCAAAACTGGCGCAAGCAAGCTCGTATACAAGACAAATACAGTTTATCTCGTACATTCTACACGTTTAGTGTTTGAGGAATGAGTGCGCGTACTTTGGCGCCTGGCTTTGGTTCCCACTACGCGCGGAAGTAGTAGTTCGGCCTGACGCTCAATGAGAGGTCATATTTGGGTACGCACCTGCTACATAAGCATCTTTGCATCACCTGGATGGGCCAAGAAGGCAAAGTAATTCACAAGGAAATGCGTCCTGCTTATCTTCTTATTCTGCATACTTTACGGTACCTTTTGTATGAGTCATTACACATTCTAAGCACCCGGTGGCAAGTGGGCAATGGCGTGGCTACGGGCTGTAGATGACTGGCGAGCTTTTGGCTCTACTGTCAAACGGCGCCAACAGGGGTTCGCCAGGGTCTAGTCGGGTTCGAGTATGCCGCTACGTCATCGCGTTGCTCTCAATGCACCTGTAGAGTTGGATCCATTTTCTATCTTTCCTATGGACTGGATGCACCAGGCTTTGGTTCACGGTGGCCAATACACACGAGATTGTTAGGCCTGTAGGCAAAAACTACCGGTTCCCTCACCCATTCTGCTGTGGCACCTGAGGTACATCATGCTAGGCGCGGCAAAACACGTTCCTGTTGGTTGCCTGCTCCCCATCATAAGGTACCTATAATTGCAGTCGCACTGAAAACACGGAAGGTCTGAATGATGTGAGTGATGCTTGGGTAAAGGTCGGCTCGATTGCTGGAAAGAATCCTAGCTGGAAAGGATTGCAGCTCCCCAAGAGCCAAGCTGCAGACTGGATCCTTACATGCCTTGGGGATCAGCGGTTTTATGCAGGCGTTTCAGGTTTCGCATAGGCATCCACAAAGGAACAACTGAACGTTTTCTGCCAGCTTGAGACTCAACTTCACAGCGGTGCTTGTTGGGCCGTATGGGCAAAGGAAGGCGGTGATACACTCCGGAACACGTAGCAGCAGAGAGTGACATTTGCGGCAGCGACCTTAACTGTCCCCTGCTGCAGGAACCCATGGGCGTGTTCGTGGCCGTTTCATAACTTGCAAAGATTGTAGCATCCCAAGGAAAAGGCTAGGAAATGTAGGAATTGCTTATACAGCAATTCGGGGATCGGCTAGTACGACAGCCAGCTTACGTAGACTCATCACACACTAAGTAAATAACTAAGACTCCAGGGCCGTATAATTCTTAATCAACACTATAGGTGAAAATGTTGCAAGCTAAGCAACGCGTGGGATTGCATGGCCGTCAGGCTTTGTCGACGAACCGCCGAGTTGTTGCATCGAAAGCTGCCGCACCAGTGACCGCTCCAGCGCCTACAGCGGTGCCTGTCCAGTTTCATAACGAAAAGCTATCGGGTGTTGTGAATGAACAGCAGTTCAAGGCGGTAATCAAGGGCCTGGTCTCTTCAGGCAAAATGCCAGCGCATCTGGAGCCCGCTTGGGAATATTTCTATGACAATTACAAGAAGGCAGTTGTGAACAGTGGCATTCCAGGTGCCGACGAGAAGTTGGTAACTCAGGTGCAAGCCTCAATTCTGGACAACGTGCTTCTGCAGGCGGTGCAACCATACACTTTCCCATCGTTCCATAATCGCATTACTGAGCCATATAACTACTATGAGTTTGGACAACGCTATGTTGGAACGCTTATTGATTTCCAGAACTCGGTGCTCGGCCATCGCGAGCGTTGGGACCGGGTGCAGGAATTCCTTGACCAGAAGCATAACGTTGTGCTGCTGGCAAATCACCAGACAGAGGCAGACCCCGGAGTGTTCGCGCATATGCTGGCCTCGACGCACCCCAAGCTGGCGACCGACGTGATCTACGTCGCTGGCGACCGCGTCGTGACGGACCCGATGTGCAAGCCGTTCTCCATGGGACGTAACCTCTTCTGTGTTCACTCCAAAAAGCACATGGGCGACGTGCCAGAGCTGAAGGCAGCAAAGATGGAAACCAACCGCAAAACGCTCGTCGCCATGCAGCGCAAACTGAACGAGGGCGGCGTCCTCATCTGGATTGCCCCCAGCGGCGGCCGAGACCGCCCCGACGCTGATGGCTTGTGGTCCCCGGATCGGTTCGACCCGGCGGCTGTGGAGCTGATGCGCAACCTGACGCAGCGTGCCAAGCAGCCCGGTCATCTCATCCCGATGTCCATGTATTCATTCCCCCTGATGCCTCCCCCTAAGACCGTGGATAAGTCCATTGGCGAGCGGCGCCTGACCAACTACACGGGAGTTGGCATCTCCGTATGCGAGGAGCTCGACGTGGCGTCCATTATCAGCGGGTCTGACGACAAGGAGGTGAGCGTGAACGACGTGAGAATGGAAATAGGAAGCTTCGGACACAGGTAACGAAACCTCGAAGCCGCACTAATAAACAGTCAAGGGATGCGCGCACTGGTACAAGAGAGAAGAGGAGATGGAAGGTTCCATAGCGCCGATTTGTCGCTTCTGCTGGCCGCATTTAGCAGCATTTTAGGCAGTTGGGAAGGCCTGGGTCGCACGATGCAACCAGACGTGGGGCAGTCGTTGGACAGCCAGAGATGTCGATGTCACCATATGAGCCCCCAATGCGGCGCCTCTCTCATTTCTGCTTGCTTTCCTCCCACCGTCCTGACCCTGCACGTAAGAAACAATCGCACTGTCGCTCCCCCAAAAGGCATTCCATGACACGCTCTTGGTCGGACGATTGCTCTCTATTGCGCTGCACAGCATATCCCTCGTCAATCACGTAAGAAGTCGACGCATGTTCATGGTGATGGATTCGTGGCCGGCCGTCTTCCTGTCTGGGCTGTGTCCTTCAGGTGCAGCAGCAGGCGCTGGCGACTGCCGCCCACGCCGCAGTAACGGAGTCGTACAAGATGCTGGAGAAGGCCATCACCGACCCGGCGTTCCGAGCCAGCCGGCCAGAGTTCTCCCAGCCGTGGCTATAGTCGCCGGAAGGGACAGGGCTATGTTAATCTTGGCAGCGCGCCCACCGTCTTCGTTGCTGAGAGTTTCGATGGCCCTAGGCAGCAGCGCTGAGTGGTGACCGCGGGAATGGGGGAGTGATGTGGGTCGCGCTTGTATGAAGAATTTCTGGCAACCAGGTTCGTGGTGTTTTATTAGGTGCTGCGTGATGTTTCACGGCGGAGCTGCGGAGGCCCCGTGGTTCCGATGGTGAGATGTTGTGTTTAGGTAGGGGTGACAGTGTTACAGGGATGTTGTCCGGAGGAGAGAGCGAGCGGGACTATCGTCTTGAGTAATTGAAGGGTGAAGACTTTTGGATCGCTTCGGGTGGGAGGTTTCAGCCAGTTGATGCGCCCACACAAACCCTAAGTCCCTGTGGCGCATCTGGGCGGAACAGGCCTGCGCAGTGATGAGTGGAAGGTATCAAGGGCAGCACGCGGGGCTCGTGAGGAAGGATTTGCATTTGCGGGAGAGGTAGTAAGGACGAAGAAACTTAGCGCTCGAAGGTTGTGCTAGAATGAAAAACGATGTCGAAGATTTGAGCTGCGGCTAAAGGCTTCCCGTGTATTACAGGGCATGCCTCGTGGAATCATCCACAGAGGTTTTTGCTTATGCCCTAAGAGAGAGGTAACGTGAGTGTGACAGTTTGGGGGACGCGTTTGCACGCAAGGGCTGGACGCGGTTGATGACGAGAGTATTGTGTAGTGTAATGGAGGTGGTGTATGTTTCGCGCGCTCGAAGAATTCATGCTGTACAACTGTCCTTACCGTTTGGGAGAATAGCCAGTTATGCTCAAACACGTTTCTTGTCGGCAGCCTTGGTTGGCGGCATAGTGCTTACTGACGCCGGCCCTTCCTGAGCACGGGAGTTTTGACCAATCCAAGGGCACTCAAAAGTCCATTGTAACAAAGATGACGAGATTGCGCCGGCCCGCTTCAACCAGTAATCTGCTGAACGCGATACCATTCTGCCGAGCATCGCAGCCTTACTGGGTTGCCCGAGATGGCTGTTTCTTTCGCAGGACTCAGAAGCTGAAGCTTGCAAGTCTGTCCCATTTGGCTTTCTCCTGAAACGTGGTGCCAGTTGCATTCGCAAATGATGCAGCATATAGTCCAACCTGAAAGACATGGGAACCTTACCCCTTAAACTTGTTCGCCCAATACCGAATTGTCACCCATTCCTTCTTGAACCACTTAAAATACCCATACTGGTGCAAGAGTCCAACCAGGAAAGGAAGGAGCAGATGCAAGGGAACGCATACAGGTCCCAAGCAGATGATCATCTCAGCTCAAAGCCTGACCTAGGCAAAAGACTAATTGAGAGGATGCCGCGATAAAAACCCGAACGGTGCTTTGCCAGTGTCCCTGTGACAGCTAAAGAGCTAAACCTGCCTTGCAAATCATAGCTACACGTAAAAAGTAAACTAAGTAACAAACACAACAGGAAAAGCCCCCCATGGCGACCGATGTAATCATCCTGTACGGCAAACATGTCTTCCTGCAACCAATTCGCAAGACACCCTAACCTCCTTTTATGAAGGCTCCCACTCCACAGGGCAAAGGTCGCCATCGCGTTCGCTGACAAGTAGGCCCAAACAAACTGGCAACGTGATGGCGTCAAAATTCTGACCTCCTTTCTTGCTTGTGTAGGATTCCAAGTCTTGAGGCGAAGTTCGGCGAGCATCCGTTCACTATCGACCTGTCCCTGAACCACTTGAAGGTGGAGGACGTCGACGTTCTTGTGCCGTGGCTGAAGAAGTATTTAGGGCTTCGCATCGTCATCAATCACAACGATTTCAATCTTCCTGAGCTTTGGAATCACTTTGAACGGAAAGACGATGCCTTTCAGCTCATTCGGTAGGTCTAAAGCTGCTTTTGTTTGCAGGCCTTCTTAGTTAAGACACATAAAGGTGGCATTGTGATTTCGTGCCCGCAGGTTGCTCACGACGGGGCGTCTCCATTTCAGCTCTACGCTTCTGCACCTGCTGACGGAGTCGGTTTTTCTCAAGCAGATGGAGAAGATCAAGACAGTATCCGACAAAACAGAAAAACTTCAAAACTGGCAAAAAATGGCAAGCTTCGCTGTTGAAGACGAGGTCAACTGCCTCATCCGCAACTACTACGAGGCGCTGGGATACGCAGTCGCTCCATTGGCTCCCGGGGCCCGCTCTGCTGGTCTTGCGATGCTTTCTCCGAAGATTCCTGTGAAAGGGAAGCCCGTGCAGCACCTCTACTCGTTCGATGCAGCTTATCAACTCGCGAAGGAGGACGAGGAGCTTGTGGTGCTTGGTGAGGTCAAGCACTCACTGGACACGCGGGATGTGCAGGATTTTTGGAAGAAAGTGTCCTTGTTCGAGAAGCGGTTGAAAAGAATCCAAGAGGGCACACTGCCCATGGGTTCACCAGCCTTCAACGCGCAAAACAATGCACTCAAGCGGTATCTGGGTGCGCGTATCAAGGCCTTCGTAGGTACCGTGCACGTGCAGCCTGCTGCTTTGGCTGCAGCTGCCAAAGCGGGGTACGATGTTGTGCTGCCGGGCGGGGCCAGGTTCGAGCTGAAGACTGCCGATGAGGCTCAAGAGATGGCGAAGTTGTGGTCCGCTACCGCCCCAAGCTATTTGCAGGCCGAAGAGGACGAATGCTAGTATGCAATCCTGTCGTGAGGTTGCAAGTTGGAAAAACAGCCTATATCAATTTGTATTCTTAGGAAGCGTTTGTCCCCGACCAATCTACGGGTCCACATGTGTAGCTCAGCGACCCTACTGTGCAATCGAGCTATGAACCGATGCCCACCTCGCGCCTTTGGGCCTAGCTCCGATAATAAAAGCCCGTATGCAGGAGAGCGCGTTGAGATCCGTAGTTCGGCTGACCCAGTGGTCGTCTCCTACCATGCCTTCGAGCCCACCCAGCGACGCATCTTCTGGATAAATGTCTTCTTCTGCAACGGTAGGCTCTGCAGTGGTAGGTTGGTCGTGCTGCCTTTGGGGGCGGAGCGGCATTTGCGGGTCGCGGTTTGCAGCAGTGGCACTTCTGCGTACACCGTGCTCCCTAATAAGCCTAGCACGCTTACGTTTGGTTCCAAATTAATAAATTTGGAAGATTGGTACTCATTGCATGCTCAGCTTCCTCTTAATTGGACATAGTCATTGTGCAGTTCTTCGAACGGGAAATTTTATCCTATTGCTTGCGTAAGTGTGTTTGGTGCTTGCGAGTCGAGATCGATCGCCATTGTACTTCCCTATGGACCTTACAAAGTTAAGGACTAAATCAGAGAACACAATTTCAATTCTTGATAATCTCTGGTAGTATATTTGTCAGTGGGTAGCAGAAGTGCGTCCCACCTTAGCGGAATATACTCATATTTGGCCTCCCCACCGCGCAGCGGAATATACTCATATTTGGCCTCCCCACCGCGCCCAAACGCGCGAGGTGGGCATCGGTTCATAGCTCACAGAAAAGTGGGCTTTGCAAAACTAATATTGTGTATTTTTAAGGCCAGAGCATTCATTTAACACACAGATCTATGAGAGGAGAAGAGTTCATATCCAAGTGGTTAGCCCCGCCGGCCGGACCGGGTACGACGCCCTTTGCGACCGGGCACTGGACCGGAACCGGACCCGCCGATTTTGGACCGAAAAGGTGCTGCTTGAAGCCCCCAATCATGTCCTAGTGCTAAAGTATGACCATAGCCAGTGTTTGGGGCTAAAGCCTTCCCGTGTATTACAGGACATGCCTCGTGGAATCATCCACAGAGGTTTTTGCTTATGCCCTAAGAGAGAGGTAACGTGAGTGTGACACTTTGGGGGACGCGTTTGCACGCAAGGACGAGAGTATTGTGCAGTGTAATGATGGCGGTGTATGTTACGTGCGCTCGAGGAATTTGTGCTGTACAACTGTCCTTACCGTTTGGGAGAGTAGCCAGTTATGCTCAAACACGTTTCTTGTCGGCAGCCTTGGTTGGCGGCATAGTGCTTACTGACGCCGGCCCTTCCTGAGCACGGGAGTTTTGACCAAATTAGGTGAATCCAAGGGCACTCAAAAGTCCATTGTAACAAAGATGAGAAGATTGCGCCGGCCCGCTTCAACCAGTAATCTGCTGAACGCGATACCATACTGCCGAGCATCGCAGCCTTACTGGGTTGCCCGAGATGGCTGTTTCTTTCGCAGGATTAGACTCAGAAGCTGAAGCTTGCAAGTCCGTCCCATTTGGATTTCTCCTGAAACGTGGTGCCAGTTGCATTCGCAAATGATGCTGCATATAGTCCAACCTGAAAGACATGGGAACCTTACCCCTTAAACTTGTTCGCCCAATACCGAATTGTCACCCATTCCTTCTTGAACCACTTAAAATACCCATACTGGTGCAAGAGTCCAACCAGGAAAGGAAGGAGCAGATGCAAGGGAACGCATACAGGTCCCAAGCAGATGATCATCTCAGCTCAAAGCCTGACCTAGGCAAAAGACTGATTGAGAGGATGCCGCGATAAAAACCCGAACAGTGTTTTGCTAGTGTCCCTGTGACAGCTAAAGAGCTAAACCTGCCTTGCAAACCATAGCTACACGTAAAAAGTAAACTAAGTAACAAACACAACAGGCAAAGCCCCCCAAATCGACCGATGTAAACATCCTGTACGGCAAACATGTCTTCCTGCAACCAATTCGCAAGACACCCTAACCTTCTTTCCTGAAGGTTCGCACTTCCGTTCGAAGCGTATCACGAAATCCAGGATATTGTCACTGCCGTTATACGCCAAGGCCTCTTGTACTGCACTATTGTGTTGAAGTATACCCCAAAAACTTCAAGCCGTTGCCAAGTCCTTCAAGACAGCTCTATTGCCTGGCCCCGCTACTTGCCCAGCGCCGCCCTCAGTTTCTGCGAAAGTTTAAAAGAGGGACAGAGAAATCGCTGTTATGAGCATGCATCTCAGCGTCGCCAGCCTGGCGACACAAACCTCTCGGACAGCAGGGGCTTTGCGCTGCCCCAGAAAGGGTGGCAAAAACAGTGCAAGCGTGCAGAGAAGCATGCAAGTAACGCAGCCTCGCAAAACCATCTCCTCACAGTAAAAACAATTCAAGGTCTCAACCAAACAAACGCGTAAATAGACGACGACAACGTCACCGACCGACTACTCACGTCACCCGCACACTGCGCACCTGTAACGCCTCCACAGCCTGGCGCTTCGATGCCGCCGCCAAACCTTCCCCCGACATCGCTGACTCCACCGCTGAAGATGTCCCCTCGCCGTCACGCCGGCAGTACGGCGAAGGAAACGCCGACGCCACAGACGCCGCGCCGCCGTTACTCAGCCATGCCCCTACGGACGCCCAACCAGCGGCAAGTGACCCAGCCTGGGGAGTCGCCATTGCATCCGCCAAAAGCATCGCGTAACGATGCTGATATGCAGGCGACGGCGACACAGTGCCGCCGGGAGTTATGGACGCCGCGACGGTGCCACCATTCCCCACCGGCGTGCTCATCAACGATAGCGGAGCCGGTAACCCGTACGCCGGCGGCAACGCCAGCGTTGACTGTGGCGCCGCCGGCGCCGCCGGCGCCGCTGGCAATAGCAGCAGCTGCCGTCCCGGCGTCGGCGCCAGCGACGCAAGCAACATGGCCTGCCGCGGCGGCGTCAAGGTGGCGGACCAGGTGGCCACGTGCGCCAGCAGCTGCTGCAGTACGGCAGAGCCGCACGGGAGCTGATGAGCTGACGGTGGCGGCGGCGGCAGCTGCAGACTTCGCAGCGCCGCAATGGCTGTGTTGACTCGCTGGTGAGCCCAGCAGGCTGGAGCTGCATCGGCATCCGACGTGGAAATCTACACATGGGCAAATTCATGAGGGTTTTCGCCAAAGGCCAAAGGGCAGCGAACGTAAGAAAGGAAGGCCGGGCAGGGGTGGGGAGTTGGCGACCCTCACACGGCACTGCCACCTGAACACCGGGGCCACAAATTACTGGTGTCACTAAGATTGTATAGACCCTGCGCAGGGTCAAATCTGAACTTGAATAGGCCTAGCGTACGGTAGCCAGGACGGGTCCGGAGACGGATCGTTGGCAAAGCCAAAGCCAACGGAATGGACAGATGATAGAAGAATGAACAGATAAAACACGGACGGACGGACAGACGGACAGACGTGGTAAAAGGAAGGAGATACCTCACCTCCGGTGCTGGCAGACCCCACCGGGCGGATGCGGAAGTGGCGGTTGCTTGTACAGCAGCTTCGTACGCCGCGACCAGCTGATTAAAGGCCGCTATGGTGTCGGCGGCGGTGACCGCGCTGACGGGGGAACCATCGCCGCCGACGCCGCCGCCGACGCGGCCTCCGTCAAGCTCCGCCACCACATCGGCCACCGCGCCACGAGCCAGGTCCTCCAGGTCCACCGAAACTACCTGTTGTTCACCGTACACCGTACAACGTACACGGGCGCATACATCAAAGTAATGAAGTAATTTGTTCTTTGGACGCAATGTCACATACGCTGATGTGGTCGCCCATTTTCCTCTCTCGTTTGCTGCACCTCGTCCTTATTTTTATAAATATATTCGCTGTACAGAAGCGCATCCTCGTCAAGCAGCGCATGCCTCTCTTGAGACCAAAAGCTTCAGACCTGTAACGCCCCTTGTCGTGTGTCCTGCTCTTACCTGCTCGTAAACCGGCGCTGACTCAGCCATGTACGACAGCGCCTGCCTCAGCACCACGTCCGGCGCCTCCGCCAGCGAAGCCACAATGACGTTGCCGCAAGTTACGGAAGCAGCAACAGCGGCAGCAGCAGCAGCAGCAGCGCCGGCGGCCGCTGCCGGCGGCGGCGGCGACAGCACCCTCGCCGCCACGGCCGGCGGCCACGTCGCCGCCGCTGTGGCTGCCAGGTGGCTGCCGATGGCGTCCGTGGCGGCGGCTGACGCTAGCGTGAGGATCACAACCGGCAGCTGCAACAACCCCGGCGGCGGCGTCGGCAGCTGCGGATGCGGTACGGCAGAGTCGGAGACCGGCAAGCAGGCGAGGACCCTCCGCAACCGCTCCCAACTAGGTACCCAGACGGCAATATACGGCAATATACGGCAATACACGTGAGGTTAAAAAGGGGGAGAACAGGACAGGGCATTGTGATGTAAATACGAGGGATATGAGTGGGACAAAAGAAAGGTTCAGAGCTCATACATGCACACACACACACACACACACACACACAAACGCACACACACACACACACACATAAACGGGGTGAGAGATGTCACAAGAAGCGGTGACATAGTGGGCGAGGCAGAGGAGCAGCCGCCAAGAAACGGCAGTGCAGGGGAGAACATGAAGATGAGCTAATGAATGTACGGAGGGTAACGGGCTCCGTACAGGCACAAACGCAGATGTAAGCAGCGGGGGAGCAGCCAGGCAAGGTGGAAGTGTGCGAGTCGAGGGAAGGGAGAGAGGATGAAGGGAAGGGATGAATGGAAGGCGGAATGGAGAGGGGCAGGAGAGGGGCAACGCACCTGTCATCCAAATCCTGACCAGCTTCCGCCGCAGCGTCCTCGTGCGGCGCCCCCGCCGCCAACGCCGCCTCAAACTCGCGACCGTCCACGAGCATCAACACGCCGCTGGTCGCCGCCACCGCCGTCGCCGCCTCCGTCGATCTGGCCATGGCGGCGGCGGCGGCGGCGGCGGGGCCGGCGGCGGCTCTCCAACCATCCAACAACGTGTTGCTGCCAAACCCATTGCCCCCATTGCCCCCGCTACCCCCGGCGGCGAATTTACCCAGACGCATGGCATTAACATCCTGCACGCACAGCGTCAGGGTATAGGCCTTGCCGCCGAGAGTGGCGCGGGCTGCCTCCATCGTGAGCTGCTCGCCGGCTGGGGGCTGGCGGAGGGGCCGCGGTCCGGCGGTCCGACCGCAGGATAGCCGGGATCGTAGCCAGGAGGCCGCCTCCAGCTGCGGGGACAGCGGGGGAGGTGAAGCCGCAGCGTGTTGGGCGAGTGGAGGACGGGTGAAGGGCGAGTGGAGGCCTGGCCATCAAACCTCCACCCTCGGCTACCCCCCCACACACACACCACCACCTTGCGAGGGTTGGGTTGGGTTGGGTTGGGGGCCCGCTTGTGCTTGCGCAATTACAACCCACTTCGGTTTCACCTTAACCTATAACGAACTAACCAACTAACTGCCAACCTCCCAACCAACGACGAACGATTTACAACCGCACCTGGTAGGCGCTCACGCAGCTCGCCTCCGTCTCCAGCGCGCCACTCAAAAGCAGAAGCTTCCAGAATACATGATGAGGACGTGCTGGCCCCTCACATGAGGCTGCCCCTCTCCGTAAGGGGCCCTTTCCCCCCATGGGCCCTTCTCGCCCGCCTGCTGTACCACGGCTGCTGCCGTAAAAGCCGTTACCGTTAAGACCGTTGACGCTGTTGATCTCCGCGGTGGCTGTGCCGCCATTCGTCATCAAGCGCCTGGCCAGTGTACGACACAGTCCCGGTACGACCACTTCCGCCAGGTTGAGGTGTGACGTGAGGATGGGAGACTTGGCGGCGGCGGCGGCGGCGGCGGCGGCGGTTGACGACGCCAGATCCGGAGGCATCAGCAGCTGCTGGAGCCCCACGGGGCCTCTGCTCGGAGCTGCCGAGTCCAGGCGCCGCTTGCGGCCCCTCTTTGGCAAAAAAAGCACAGTGTGGCAGAAATAGCGGGTAAGAAACGAAGAAAGTTAGATTCGGTTAGACTTGTAAAAATAGTGTAAGTTACAATTTTCGCACACAAAGTGCGGAAGGGGATAAGGAGGGGTCCATAAAAGCGACCCAGGTGACCCCCCTGGGGGAGCTCCGTTGTCTTCAGCAACACAGCACAACAACACAACACAACACAACACAACACAACACAACACAACACAACACAACACAACACAACACAACACAACACAACACAACACAACACAACACAACACAACAGTAATTCTACCCGGGAAAGCGTCAAGCTCACCACCCGTACCAAATGAGACGTCGTCGTCGCCGTCGCTGCCGGGCCTTTCACAACCGCCCGATCGACGCCTCGCACGCGCACATCATCACTCATGCCGCCGCCGCCCCCGCCGCCGCCGCCGCCGCCGAACCCCAGCAACCCCAGCGCGCTCCGCCGGCGCCCTGCTGCCATGAAGGTCACGGACGCCCGCGCCAGCTGCTGACGGAGGAGCTCCTCCCGCCGCTTGCGTGCCCGTGCCGCTTCCTGCCATCGCGCCAGATAGCGCCTCATACTGAGATTGCTCCACCTCTCCTCTATGGCATTTCCCTGCGTGCGTACGATGCGGCGGACGGCATTGCACATGTATTAAATATTATGTATAAGGTATACAAAGGATATATATATATATAATAAGAATATATACATCTCGCCCATCCCGAACCGAGCCTCACACCATGACGCATCACCTGCTGGCCGAGCTTCAGCGCCGCCACCTGCTCAGCAAACGCCGCCTCTCTTCGCTGCGCCTCCAGGAGAGCCGCCTGCGCTGCGGAGGCCGCTGCCGCCAACTGCTGGCACTGAACCGCCAGAGCCCTGACGAGGATAGAAGCAGTAGCAGTAGCGGCGGAAGCAGCAGTAGTATCAGGAGCACAGCAGTAGCAGTAGCGAAAGGTCACTCAAAAAGGGGCAGCACCGCCATCGCCACCGCCACCGCCACCGATGGAAATCGCCGTCAGGGTCGCTACACACCGCCGTCCATATTTCCTTGTTTTTATTTACCGTCCTTAAGACTCGTCAATCGCCAGTTGCTCACTCACTCAGTCACTCACCGGTGTCGCTCGTGCTCCTGTCGTATGGCCTGGTCCGCCTGGTGCTTCAACCGCTCCATGGCCAGCTCCGCCTCCGCCGCGCGCTGAGCCTGAGCCAGGAGTCCGACATCCACTAGGAGGGCCTGGTGCTGTTGCTGCTGCTGAGGCTGATGTGAATACGGCTGTTGCAGACGGCAGTAGCAGCGGCAGTGGTAACAGCAGCAGCGGCAGCGGCAGCAACAATAGCAACAACGGAGGAAAGGGATGAGGGGGAACGGTTGAGTGTATAACAGATACATAGTATAATAGTATATAGTATAACAACACCGTGTGAAAAAGAGAGGGGAAAGAGCGGCGCGTTGTATTGATCTTACCTCCAGCAGCAGCTGTTGCTGCTGATATTGGAAGAACTGCTGCTGCTGCGCTGGCGGCGGGTGGTGCAGCGGCGGTACGGCGGTGATGCCGGACCCGACATTCAGCGACGCCGCTGCGGCGGCGTCGGCGGCAGCAAGTGGCACCGCCGGCGCTGGTCGCATGCCAGCGGTAGCGGCGGTAGCCCCAATCGCGCCCACGGCCGCTACGGCCGCTGGTGCACGTGCTGGGGAACCGAATACCTGTTGTGCCGTCGCCGACGGTGGCGGCGCCGCCGCCGGTGTGGCAACTGCCCCCAGACGGGCCGCCTCCCGGGCCCCGGAGCCGCTTGTCGGTGAAGCTGTGGTTTAGGAGGAGAGCAGAGAACGTTTATGAAAAGTCTTAAAGAGGAGTTTAAAGGGTTTTAGGAAGGGTTTTGTTGCGGGAATCAAGGCCACAGTGGCTAGGATTTAAAACTTCACAATTGCTCCCCCCCAGCCTTCACATGGCGGAGAGGATTTTCACCACGTCTGGATAATATTTTTAGTGGAAGCGACAGCTGTAAACCTGGGCTGCTGCCGCTGCCGCCCGGAAGCTTACTTGCAGCGCTACCAAGCAGACCAGACGCCGCTGCGGACATCGAAGACGGGCGGCTTCCGCTGCCGACGCGGGCCGATGCGTCCGGCGACCCGAGCTCCCACGGCGCCGGCGAAGCCGGCGTCGGCGGCTGCACCACCGCCGCCATCGGCGGCGGCTGCCGCGGCGGCGTTGCCGCCGGCGCTGCCGTCGCGGCAGCGGCGGCGGGGCCACCGAGGCTGCCGACAGCTAGCACCGCGGGCGGACCCACGGGTCGGTGCAGGGCCGCTACGGGCGCTCCGGAGCTCTGCGGTCCCGTCAGCAGCTGACGGCAGTACCTGAGAAGCTCGGGTGAGAGCTGGGCGGGGTTGACGGTATCTTGATGCCGACCGACGGGGGAGCGTTTCGCGGTGATCCAGTGTTGTGCCTGGGTGGGTTTCAGAAAGGCCGGGTAGCGCGGGGGGCCAATGGGAGAAAGAGCGGTTACCTTAACCACCTTTTTTCCCTTTTCAGGACATACCGCCTGCCTGCGTGCATGTGCTGCTGCACATGGTTCTCGAAGAGCCCGCTTGCAATCAGCCGAAATCTAGCTTTCCCCAGCCTCTGCGGGGCGCACCCACATACGGCCCTTCGCCCACCATCCCCGCCGAGGGCAACACCAGGGCCACATTTCGAGGGCCACGACCACCACCACCACCACCACCACGACGCTAGCAGCAGCAGCCTCAGCCGGCTGACAACTTCCTGCATGCGAACCTCTAATCATGTGCGCCCCCCCTAAGACTATCTGAAGTGGAAATCGGCCCCGCTTGCTCCATTTCCCAGCCTCCCTCTTCCCCTCCATTCCCCCTTCTCTCTCTCTTTCTCTTTCTCTCCCTCTCTCTTTCTCTCCCCCTCCTCCTCATCGCAAGGTGAAGACTCTACTTCCTCTCCCTTCCTCTATCCCCCTCCCCCCTTTCTGTCGCCTCACCCGGACTTTGACCTTGGGCTCTCGGGCGGTGATCTGGGAGGTTAGAAACGACACATCCCGCTGACCTGCGGCCGGAGAGAGGCGGCAAGGCGCCAGGCGGCAAGGCAAGGTGAGAGCAAGACGACCCGGAGGAGAACAAGAAAGTTCTCACTTCCCGCATCATTCCCGCCGCCGTCGAATTTCGCCCCAACGGGCAACCCATAGCACAGATTTTAAACCTCCCTACCTTCGCTCTACTCCCGCTGCGGGTGCCCCCCGTCCTCCCTGTCCCTGTCCCTGTCCCTGTCCCTGTCCCTGTCCCTGTCCCTGTCCCTGTCCCTGTCCCTGTCCCTGTCCCTGTCCCTGTCCCTGTCCCTGTCCCTGTCCCTGTCCCTGTCCCTGTCCCTGTCCCTGTCCCTGTCCCTGTCCCTGTCCCTGTCCCTGTCCCTGTCCCTGTCCCTGTCCCTGTCCCTACCCCCGCCCCTCCTACCCCTACCCCTAACCCCCGCCCCTCCTACCCCTATCCCCGCCCCTCCTATCCCTATCCCTGCCCCTCCTACCCTCACCATGCGCCCCCCCGGGCTGCACCAGCGCCTGGCGGGTCTCCGCGTAGCCGGTGGCGTTGGCCTCGCTCAGCTTGAGCACCCGCGCCAGGTCCACGAGCGGCATGGCGGCGGCGGGGTCGGGCCGACCGCCCGGCTGACCAGGGTGGGGGGCTGCAGCGGGGCGGGCCGGGATGAGCATGTTGTTAGGAAAAGTGAGTGACATGGGGCGAGATGGGATGTGGGGGGGAGTCACATGGTAAGATGCGAAAGCAATTGCACACAAACCAAACAAACATGCCCTGCCGAGATCAAGGCCCCATGTGCGATCTGCCGCGATAGCTTGCGGGGTGTGGGATGTGGAATGTGGGGTCGGATGGAGGTGGTGTAAAAGGCACAATTTTTTAAAATTTCGAATGTGCGGAAAGTGCGGAGGGACTTTATCCCTTGGAGGTGCTGGAGCTGATGGTGGTGTGTGAGAGGTTCGATGTGATGGCGCTAAAGGATGGGTTGCGAGTGCGGGCAGTGATGTTCAGTGTGTGGCAAGGGAAACAGTAGGGGTGCGAAGGAGCCTGTTGTTGTGAAGGAAAAAAGGAAAGGCACGCAACGAAAGCAAAGCGACCGTGTGGAACCCTTCGAACTGAAACCTAACTCACCCCCCATAGCGGCGGCCAACATGTGCATGGCCAGAGAGCGCATCGGCATCACATGGGATGCACAGATGCATGCAAACGTGTACGGCGCTCTGGCCAGCAGGTCGAAGAAGGCCACCACATTGCCCATCTGCAGCGCCGCCATCATGGCAAACAGAACGGTGGTCCACGGGGAGGACAGCTCCTGGGGGTTGTGAGTTGGTTGGAGTTGGTTAAATATGGTTAATTGGGGGTTGGTTAGTTGAGGTCAGTTGGTTAATGGGATCAGTTGGTTGTGGTTTTGAGACCTTGGGAGAGGAATGGGGTTGGCTGGTGTTGGTTGGGGTTGGCTTCAATAGGGGAGAATTTTTGAATGAGAGACGCAATCAAATGTTACCAACGAGGAGTCCGCTTGGCGCGTGAGGGGAACCACATCTGCAGAAATTTTAAGCAAATTAGAAACAGAAACAGAATTCTAACAGCACCAACGGTTTCCAACCAGAACAGTCGTGGTTAGCAGGAGTCGCAGCTCCGCGTAATGGCGGTGGCGACCCACGCGGCCCACCACTGTGTGCTGCACCACTACTCTGCCGCTCGCAGCAGCATGTGCACTGTGTCTACACTGTACACCCTACCGTACACACAGTCTCCGTAGCCGCACCTCCTCACTGTACTGCCGAAGGTACATCTGCGCCTCCGCAGGCTGTCTAAAGCGGCGGCCGTTCTTTTCAATGGTACCGCCCATCATCAAAATGAGCAAATAGCACCTGAAGAGAGGCCGGAAACGGGCGGTGGGGGCGGGGGAAGACGAACCACGAGCGAGTGAAGGGGATGAGCGGAAAAATAGGCGCCCGGGAATCATATGCAGGGATCTTAGTGGCCAGCAAGGAAAGGTGAGAGAAAAAGGGAAGCGTGAGATATACACCCATGCACACACCCATGCATATTACTTATATCCAACTCTGCCCCTCGCAGCTCCGGCCCCCCGACCGCATTTCCTCCTTTCTCCCCCTTCCCCCTCCATCCCCCTTCTCTCTTACGCCACGAAAAAGCTATGTCCTACGCTACGAAGAAGAACCCCTCAACAATACACACATATGTATAATAACAGAATTACATCCACACATCCACACACAACCCCCCGGTTCCCTTTCCGCTCTTACTTCATTTCTGCCGCGTTCGGTGTGGGCACCCCCAGCCGACTTGCCGAGGTGTAGAACCTGGTGACCAGATCGGTGAGGACCTGGGGGAAAGCCGGGTGATGACGGGGATTGGAGGGCGCCCGGGTGGGACGTCGGGACGGGTTGCGGGTTTGCAGGGACTTTTCATTCATTTCAAATATTCCGAATTTCTCGAACCCGGGTTCAAATCCCAGACTTCTGATTTTTTTCCCGCAATTTCAGCATCTCATCAGTCATTAGCCTCTTGTTCTCTGAAACCTCCAAACGCATTTTATGGGTACCTTTTTGAGCTGCTCTTGGTTCAGCTGAGCTGCGAAGTCCCGGTTGCCCTGTTCCAGGGGGTTTGGAAGGGAAGAGCTATCAGTACATCCGTACAAAGTACAACAGTATGCCATGTAAAGCAAGGCGTATGCATCATCGACGAGGAACATTTTGGGGGTTAGCGGGCAGCTAGAGGAAAACCTGCTTGATGAAAACCTCAATCCTAAAGCCCTAAGCTTTCAAAACCAACCCACACGACCACACCAGACGTCCACAGCCCAAACCGGCGTCCCCCCTCTCACCCAGAGTTCGTGGGAAGAGATGATGAGAAACCGGGCAATCTCTTCATTCCAAGCCAAGACCTGCGCAGAAAAATAAACAAATCAGCATAAAAAAAGGATTTACGGAAAAAGGAAAAAGAGGAGAAAAGAGATATTGTTAATGAACTGTCCAGAGTTCATATCCGTGTGTGTGTGTTACACCTCATTACCCACTCTAACCACCACACACGCACACGCACACGCACAGGCACACGGACAGACCTTGAGTTAGTGTTAGGCAGGTTGTCAGGCAACCATTCTGATCCCCCTTTTACTCCACCGTCACACACACACGGGCACGGGCACAGCTCCTAAATCGCGACTCAGTCCTCCAAAATACACACACGCACACACGCATACACAGCCCCCTCACATGCGGCAGCAGCTCCGCCCGAGCGTGGAAGTGCTGCGCGATTATCTCCTTTCGGACCTGAGGAGCCAACCGGCCGGCGGCGACGGCGGCCGGGGGGTGGGCGTGCGTGTTGGAGGATCGCGTGAGAAAGTGGAGCGGGAGGAAGGCGGACGCGAGAGGGGGAGAGAGAAGTATGCGTCCTCACGGAGGGAAAGTGGGCAAAGGAAAACGGAAGATGAACGGCAAAAAAAATTGAGAGGACAAACGACCGGTCAGACCGCAGTTCGAAACCCCAGATCACCAGTTTTTTTTCTTTTTTCCTGTGCCGTCCTCATCTTTCTCACCCACACTCACCCAGCTGCCCTCCCCAAAACCCCTCTCATCTGCCACCTCTCACCTCCCGATATCGATCCCACAGGAAGGCCTGGACGTTCAGCAGCGTCTGCTCCGGAGTGCAATGAATGCTCGCCGCCAGCGCCGTCTCGTCCGGGTTTGAGATGAGGGAGCGCAGACGGGCCATGGTCAGACTCAGAGCCCGGAAGGTGCGCAGATTCTCGGGCCGACGGTCCTCCTCGCTGTAGTTCTTACGCTGTGTGCGTGCGTATGTATGTATGTATGTGTGCGTGTGTGCCGACGGGGGAAACATGATGGTGATACGCAGCAGGGGACAGAGGGGTCGGGGGAGGGGTAGGTTTCGGACGGAAGCGCCTCACAACTGGGGAGATGGGAGATGGGACGGGAAGGATCTACTCGGGGAATGCGGGAGGGAAGGAAAAGGGATTGCGGAGCAGCCAAGCCAAAGCCAAAGCAACAGAAAGCGGCAGCAGCAGCAGCACCACCACCACCACCACCACAAGGCTGTATCGCGAGGTCCACGAACCACCCTCCAGGGCCCCCCTCACCCCCTCACCGCTTTCTTAATAATGAGGTTCTCGCTGGTCAGTTTGCTGTTGAGGGGGTCCAACCGCTCAAAGATGTTGAGCTCCCCGGTAGCCTGAGGGGGGGGTCGGGGGGGTCGGGGGTCGGTTCAGGAAAGGGGGAGTTGGGAGTTGGGAGGTATTCCTAATGGGATCAGGGCAGGGCAAGGCAGGGGCACTAGCAATGACTTAACCCTCCCCCCCCCACACACACACTATCTTGTCTTTCCGCAACACCTACCTCAGTCATAACCCCCCTCCCACCTCTACTCGTTGCTTCGCCCTTTCTTCTTTGAACTCGGCAACTAGACACTTGTCCCCACCCTGCACTTCCCCCTCTCACCTCCCGGCGTTTCCTCTCCGCCACCGGGCACATCAGCTCGCAAGTGCCGACTAGCGCAGGTCCCCCGGACGAACCGCCTGACAGAGCGAGAGGTCACAACAGATTGCAGATGGTTGTGGCAGTAGCAGCAATAGCAATAGCAATAGCAGTAGAAGCAGTTGCAAAACAGTAATCGCGAGTAGCAGCAACGGCACACGGGCACAAAGGTCGCAGCAGTAACGAATGGGCGGGCGGCAGAAGGAAGGAAAAGAGACGACAGCAGCAGCAGCAGCAGTGGAGGACATGTTGCTCAGCAATGTGCTAGCAGCCGTAGCCGCAGCCGTAGCGGCAGCATCCCAAGTGCAATAGCAGCAGCAGCAGCATCCCCCACCACCATCACCACCATTGTTACCACCACCATTGTCACCACTAAAACAACAACACTATCACCACCTGTTCACCCTACAATAGCACGGTTCCGAACAAAGGTTTCACTGGCCTGGCGTGATGCAATTTTGGGGGCATGGCCCGGCACAATTCGATTTTGGGGGGCATGGCCTGGCATGACGCAATTTGGGGGCCAAGAGGAGGCTGTCTCCTCCTTTCCTTCTTCCCCAGTCCAGTACTGTGGACCAGCAGCACACCACAGTGCCGCACCACGCAGCGGGACCATGCAGCTGCATGTCCTTACGCCTCCCCTCGCTATCCCCGTCCTTGCCATCATAAGATAATATCAGTAAAAAATCTCTCTGTTCGGAGACATGTACTTGGGGGCTTGGGGGACACTCTGGCACACCCTGCCACACCATAAGGCCCCGCTCCAGGCGCCAAAAGTGCCATTTCCAGGAGTTGGTCACGATTAAAGCACATTTCCAGGATTTGTTCACGTTCAAAAGCCTTCTAGGAAGAGGTTGATTTTGTCAATACTATTTCCAGGATGGTTACCCGCTTCCCTCCAAAAAGAAAACTCACGCTACGGAACGCACCCTCATCATCGTCGCCCATGACGTCTCCGCCGCCACCGCCGCCAAGATACGACAGCAGCGGTGACGGCGGCGGTGACGGTGACGGCGAGCCCCGAGCACCCGCAGCTTCCTCCTCTCCTGCCCTCCATCGAGCTGGTGAACGACTGACACCTCGCCCTGCGAGAGTCCTGTCACCACCACCACCACCACCTCCTGCTGCTCCTTCTCCTCGTCCTGCCACTACGCCAAAGGCGGTGGTGCCAGGCTTAGAACCCCCGGCGGCGGCTGCTGGTTCATCCGTAAAAGCCTGTCGTCGCCATCAATATATGGAAGGACAGATATGGCAGCGGCAATGGAATTTCAACAGAGAGGGGACAATAAATGCAGCAAAGCCAAGGAAAGGACGCTGTCCATGACCAGCGCACCAGCTGCCGGAAAACAACGCAAAGAGACGCGGAGGATGCGAGGAGATGGGGGCCTGCGGTCCTGTTGGGGCCGGATCCGTCCTCCCCTCCCCACACACAAACTTTGCCTGCCGCTGCAGCTGCCCTTATAGCAACTCCGCGCAACCCCGATGTGTCCTGTTTAGGAGACCACGCGACGGACCTGTCCGAATCGCTGCTGACGCTTCCTCAAGAGAGCCGCGTCTTCGTCGTCCGTAGCCGCGTCGCCGCCGCCGCCGCCAGCATCTGCCCTGGTGGCGGCGGCGGCGGCAGCAGCAGCGATGACATCCGCGTCACGCTTCTCGCCAAACGTCGGTACAGGAACCGGCACACGTGCCGTACGGCCTGCCGCCGCCGCGAACCCTGGCTGAGGTTGGGCGCTACGCCCCGCAGCGTGCCAGCCGCTGGGCTTTTGCAGCTGCAACGCGGGCGCCGCAGCCGTCGCCTCTCCGGCGTCGCCGTCAACGCCATCGTACACTTCCTCATCGTCACCGCCGTCAAAGTCACCGCCGTCCTCCTCCATAGGCGCCCCGTCGTCATCACCTCCGTCATCTCCATACACCTGGTCCATGCCTTCATCGCCACCACCGCCTCCGCCGCCAGGAGGTCCCCCTGGACCCGAAACCCAGCCTGCCTTCCGACCCCCCTGCTGCTGCTGTTGCTGGCGAACCCATTGATTCCGACCACCTCCACGGCTGCCGCCACGACCGCCCCGCCAATGCCCCCCGCCGCCGCCGCCGCCCGCCGCGTCTGCGCCCCCACCTCTGCCGAATCCAGAACCACCGTGGCCCTGTCGCCCACCAGCGGAGCCGCCACCGCGGCCGCGGCCGCCAGCCGCTCCCGGAACCCCGCCGCCGCCGCTGCCGCTGCCGCCACCATCCAAGGCAGCGCTTTCCCTCAGCGCGCTGAGGCCCAAGCGTGCAAAAACCCGTCGTCCTGGACCGCCTACAGCGCCTCGCTGCTGTTGTTGCTGCTGCTGAGGCCCTCCACCGGCCGCAGAGTCAGCACCTGGGGTAGGGGGAAAAGCGGGGGGAAGGAGGGAGTGGCGCAAAGAACTGACACGAACGCCTAGACGCTCACGGCCGTACGGGCGAAGTGTGCACGCGCTCGCACTTGCCTCCTGCAGCTGCTGCGCCACGTGCTTGGCGTTGACCTCCTCCGCCTCCGAAACCGCCGCCACCACCACCTCCCCATCCGCCTCCGAAACCGCCACTACCTCTTCCTCCACCTCCAGCAGCTGGTGCTGGCGCAGGTCCCTGGTGCAGTTCAAAGAAATGGTTGTACGAGATAGCTTAAGGGAAGTAGATTACCTAAAGGCAGAAACGAAGTCAACAGCTAAGGTTGCGGTGCATTAGGAGGCTGGTCTGGATAGGGGTTGTGGAAAGCTGTGGTGGGGTCCACGGTCCGGGGACATGGTAGGCCGCACCTGGCCAGCTGCCGGGATAACCGCTCCGAAGAGAACCTTGCCAACAAAGCCGCCTTCAGCAGCACCCCCGCCGAACCCGCGGCCGGCAGCGGCCCCGAAACCACCACCACGGCCGCCAAAAGCCCCTGACGGTCCTTGTCCCTGCTGGTTGGACGAGCCAAAGTCTCGTCCAGTGTCAACACCAAACATGATCGGACCTCAACTTTCACCGGCAAGCCTCCAAGTCGGACGCTTGCAAGGCTTGAGACTGAAAGGTATCAATGAAGAACCTTTCGCCACATCGCGGCGCCTGCTCGCGACGTGCCGCAGGTTAGCGCGCACGACGAGTAACTCCGCAAGCTTTCACACCTCCGTCTTAACGCAGCTGCAGAAAAAGTTAATATGAACGATGTGAAAATCTGTCAGAAAGGTAAAGTTCAAATGTAACGGGTTCAAACAGCCGCTGTTCAGCCCCATGTGCCTCAATTATTCCGCAGTATATTTACAAATCTTTAATAAATCAAACCATAATAAACCAAATTGCCTTGTTTGCCTTCGTGTGGCGACACTCGAACCGACGTTTACCTGAACCAACGAAAATCAGTACATATCTCGGGCTTGGCTGTTGGCTCGCGAATCGCAGCCTTGTGACATTTCCTTGCAGGAATCCTACTAGTGATGTATTGGACTTAGCATGCTCTGTTTGAAACCTTCCTTTGGTGGTACGGGAAACAACTCTAGCTGCGGTACGGCAGGCTAGGATTTCGCCGCGATCTTCGGCACGGTGTTCAGCTGGTTACCCCATACGCAGATTCCTTGTTAATATCTAGGCTGCTGCTGTTTCATGGCAGCGAACAAACGGCCTACTATTTTCGCCGCTTGTGTACACGCAGCACAGCGTAGCTACATATGACCACCGAATCTTCCCTCACCACATGCACTGTACACTTGTACGGTGATATACTTCAATATATCAACGGTGATGGCTACGCTTGCGTTGACGAGCTAATCCGACAACAGCAGCATCTTACAGGCAGGATCAATGGAACATCACGTCATTACCCCGTTCCCTTGTTTCCTTTATTCAAAGACCCACATAGAAAGTTAATGGAGCACACGACCCAACGGAACTAAGACTATTTATGAAGTTAACGAGAACGCAATAATCCGCTATAGTAACGTTACATTGCTGTATGGAATTGTTGTAAATGGTAAGTATGCTGTTGTTTGAGCACGTATTGCATACAACCTTAGCACATCGTTGTGTTACAAGATAAGCAGGTAAACGCAAGGACCAATAAAGGCAAGAGCCCAGAGATTCCGTGCAATCTGCATGGTACCGAACCCAGTTCGCTCAGAGGGCTGACCGACACAAACTTAGTTCTACAACAGGACTAACATCGAGGTAGGGTAATTGATCCTAGGGACTGCGGTGCTGATCCCTGGCTCCGGAACCCAGGTGGTCTGGTCGGCAGGCTAACAATTTGGATAAGGCACGCGCGATGGGGCACAGAATTTTACAGGGTCTACGAGAGAGCCCATCTGCGAGTCAAAGTAAAGCTGCTTGGTCAGCAACATTAAGGCGCCTTATGCGGCACTCAGTCAGAGTCTCATAATCTATAATGGTGGATAGCTGCGTCCTACTAACCTGCCACATTACATGGATCGTTTTCAGGTCAGTCCCGCTCCACTAGCCAAGTAAAACAATGAAGGTCAACTCGTCACGCATATGCCTGATGCTCCTTAGCTTTCTCAACCTCCAATAGAATCCGTACGGATCCGTACATGCCAACATTGACTTTGACTGTTGCATCGCCAGTCGTATGCACAAATAAGGTCACATCAGGCGGAAAACAATACACGCACATGCATACACCGAAAACAGTTGATGTGGCCACCATCACACGCAGCAGCAGCAGCACCAGTGCGACGAAATCAGCTCTCATACTCGTTAGTCACACCCAGCAATGCAGTCTACATTTTATGAAATACAACAGCTTCCAGGAAATAAGCGGCAAGCCAAAATTAGTCATGCGATCTAGGCGTTGCGACCTGTATATTATCCGGGTCAGCAAGAGGACTCGCACGCGCGCAAAAAGATAAACGTTAAAGCGCTCCGCGCCTGCTCCGAATTCCGAATTATACTCTTCCTGAGCTTCTGCTCCGTTCACTTTTTCTTTGCTGCGGCCTTTGCGCTGCGCACGGCCGCCTGGGCAGCGGCCAGCCGCGCAATTGGCACTCGGAAGGGAGAGCAAGAAACGTAGTCTAGGCCCACCTGCACGTAAACATCACAAGCAAGGAACAGTTTAAAGAGGGATTATTCCCAAGCAAGAACTTTTTAATTTTCAAAGTTGAATACGTTTCGCGCCGCAAAAGTTTTTTATTTCCCTGTTTGCGGTCTGTGGTGCCCCCTCTCTTTCCCTCACCTCATGCAGGAAGGCCACCGTCTTGGGCTCGCCACCCTGCTCGCCGCAGATGCCAATCTTTAGGTTGGGTCGGCTGGCCCGGCCTCGCTCCACCGCAAACTTTATCAGCTCGCCAACGCCATCCTGGTCTAGGACCTGCCACAATCCCAACAACACATACGACCATTCGTATGTTCATACGCAGCACATGTACAGATTGTAACATAACATGTGCAGATGTGTGTACTGGAACCGTTTGCCATTATTCCACATGCTGGCTGTGATAAAGTGGCCCAGAAGCCTCCCACTCTGTAACATAACATCATCATAACATGCTGGCTGATGATGGCTTACGTGTGCCTGCTAATCTCCAATCGTTGCACAATCGTCACAGCAACTCACAGAATACCGTAAAGTTTGTAAGACATGCATTTGTACGGGTGCGTACGAACAAACGTACCTGGAAGGGGTCATGCGCCAGGATGCCCTTATCCAGATAGTTTTGGAGGAACTTGCCAATGTCATCTCGCGAGTAACCAAAACTGCAAAGAAGAAAAATCAAACAAGATATCGCAATCAACAGTTCCCGGTAACCATATATTAGGGTTAAGACAGAGTAAAGCCACGAGGACACGGTCACATGGTGCAGTGCGGTACGATTATGCATCAGTTGTATGACAAAAACTCTTTGCGACATAAGAGTACCGCATCGAGCAATTTAGCAACAAGCAGCGCTAATCACAGACGCGCACCCACGTCATCTGGGTCAGATCGTTGGTGCCAAACGAGAAGAACTCGGCGGTCTTCGCAATGGCCCCTGCCTGAAGCGCCGCGCGTGGGACCTCAATCATGGTCCCCACACGGTACGGCACACCGACTCCCGCCTCCTTCATGACCTGCGCACACGACAGCACACACACACACAGACACACAGGGTGAATAACAACAGCGAGGACATTGGACGCGGTACGACAACATCATGGAATGAAAGGAGAACCACCATCACTACCTGTACGCAGCAGCAGCAGCAGGGAAAGAGAGCCTCACAGACGGCAACTGGCGCACACAGGGCCCCCCGCGCACCTCCTCGCCGACCCGGCGAATAAGCTGCTCCTGGTTCTTCAACTCCGCAGCAGTCCCGACCAGCGGCACCATGATGTCAAGTTGCACGGCCCCGCCGTCGCGCAGCACTCGCACAGCCGCCTCAAACATAGCGCGAACCTGGTGGTGGTGGACATGCAGCTGTTAACATGACATGCGCGAGAACACGTGAGTGCAAGAAACGTGCAAGAGCTTCGCCCGTCTAAATGCACAATGGGATGAAAGAATGCCGCAGATCAGAGGGTGCATAAGAAAGAAAAGGTCCTTCCCCACACACCGAGAAAAAGACAAGGAAAGGTCTGGTTGCTGAGAAGACGGAATGAAAGTCCATGAGACGGGCTTCCACAGCCATCATAACCCAGTAAAGCCACGCAATACCAACCCTTTTTCAGTGGCAGTATAACATCCAACAGGCAGGCGGCTGGCAGAGGTTAAGGCCTGACTTCTGCTCCCGGAGTATCCGGGTTCAAATCCGCCTGCCGACCTCTCGGGTGTTTGAGAGGTGGAGAAATGGGAGGTGGTCCCTCATCTTGTGGACGATGTAGGACTTGATACAATCAACTTACGAGCTAACCAGGAACTAGTTTGACGCACCGTTAATCCGCTAGATTTGGTTGGATGCTGGTGGTGAGTTGCTGAACCCAACGAATACACTCTGAAGTTGGATGGGGTGAATGGATTAGGGTGCCCCTCTAGCAGGGTAGAGCAGGGAATTGCCTCGGGAAGGAGGCCACTGGTGATGCTATACCACCACCCTGTAACAACATCAACATCCATCCCGGTCCACTCCACCCCGCCCCACCTGCATCTCAGTAATCTCTGGGTAGGTGATGCCCAGGCGGCAGCCACGGAAACCCAACATGGGGTTCACTTCCTGCACGTCCAAGGACGCGGGAGCACGTAAAACACGGAGAGAAGACAAGCCCAGAAGACACAGGCCAGGTACTTATGCGGCTCTGCACGTGACTAGGGAGCGCGATATGATTGCCGTTCAACAAGGACTGGACTGCTCTTGTTTGCTTGCGCTTTGACAGTATCTGGCGCGCGAGGAAAGAAAACACGCGTCGGGACCCCAACAGACCAACTGTCTAACCAACTAACCGACCAACGACGTACTTGCAGCTTCTCAATGGTGGCCAGCACCTCGTCAATGGTGATACCTGCATCGCGCGCGAGTGCCTCGCAAACCTGCGACAGGCCAAGCCACATGTACATACATACATACACGCGGAAAGAAGAGAACAAGCGGACTCAGATGTTGCCAGAACGCGAATGCAACCCCACAATGGGGCGCGAGGATCAGGCAAGGCGTCTTCCCACAACAGACCGGAAACTGACACAATGATAGGTTTTACCCGTAACCGGAAACGGGCTCCATTCGCAGAGGAGCCCGTTCACCGTAAAGAGCCGAGGACACGCGGGGGGGATGTGCGCCACCGTACCTCCGTCATCTCGCCATCCGGCAAGAACTCATGAAGCGGGGGATCCAGCAGCCGAATCGTAACCGGGAAGCCGCTCATAGCGCGAAGAATGCCCTGCGGCGTTGATTATGCCTCACGATTATTACTTGTGGAGAGATGTGCAAGATGAAGAGGTGTGCATGTGCCAATATAAGCCTTGGCCGGATCAGGATTCACGACATGCCACGGCATCTCGTATAGATGGCATCTCATAAAACAAAGCACCCGCACTCCACCATCATCACCTGTTCCTCTGTATGGTCCTCCTCTATCCCATCATTTTCCTTCTCCCTTTTCTCCTCCTCCTCCTCTTCCTCCAGTGGTACTCTTTCACTCAACCACATCACTCACCCACACTACACCACATCGCACCTCCAACCACACATGGGATCCCTCATGTCCGGTTCCATCTTGGGGTTTCCTCCTCCACCAACCCACACAACTCCACCAGCTCCCAACCAGCCTCACCTCAAAATCTTCCCGCTGGAAAGGCAGCAAATCCCGCAGTGCCTTCAGTCGTGCCTCCTGACTCTGTACATTGAAATGCCACAGTGTGGTTTTTCGATTACTTTAGGTCGAAAGAAAGGTAGCGGAAAAGTCCAAGTACAAGGCTACCTCGCCCATCCTGTGGAGCTCTGTTGATGAATTCTCCACACTAGCGTCTAGGCTCTCAAGTCTCCCCGATAGGATAAGGTTTTCAAGTCTCCCCTACCTGAGCCACAATCATGCGCCGCACGGTGGCAATGCGCTCCTCGCTGGCGAAGAACATGTGCTCAGTACGGCACAGACCAATGCCCTGCGGATCACATCATCCAAATTTTGGCAATCAACGCGGACGACAGGGTCCAAGCAAACATCAGCATTTCCAGAACCAAAATGAATCAGTGCATGGGGATGACTTGAATATGGAAAGATCCCGATTGATAAATACAATCATTCAAACCGTTGCTGTGGGTCATTTCGTGTCCTAAGGTTTTATATAGGCCCCACCTTCCCCGAAACTTTGATTCTAGTAGGATCAGGCCACCCGAGCCATATTCGGCATGCCAACAATAAAAGTATGTACGACGTACGGCATGTTCTGTACCTCAGCGCCGAACTTGCGGGCTTCTGCGGCATCCTCCGGTGTGTCCGCGTTGGTAAGGACGCCCAGGCGCCGGCGCTCGTCCACCCACTTCATGAACCTTCGTAAGGCAGGATTTAGCAATACAGCAAGATCGTCATTTCTCGTAACATACAACGCCAACATCGCCACAGCAAGCAACACAGCACACTGGGCCTAGAGGGCCAAAAGGTAATGAAGTAACGGATCCTAAGTGATGCTCTTATGCCCTCCAGAAAAACACAATGGCACCGAGGTTGAACTGCCGTCCTCAGCCCTGAGCATTATGAACCCCTCCCTCCGGCCCGCCCGCCTGTATTAGGTATTAAATTGTATACACAGTCCAATATACAAAGCCAGGCAGACAGACAGACAGACAGACAGTCCTGCAGTCGCACTTGCTCAGGTCGCCGGCCAGCTCGGGAGGCGCCAGCGGCTGCTTGCCGCGAATGATCTCGCCTGACGTGCCGTTGAGCGAAATGAAGTCACCCTGCCGGATCTCGACACCGTTGATGCGAGCCACTTTATTATGCTCGTCTACCTGTCATCGTAACAAAACCAACGGTGGTTAGCCAGAGTCAATTTCGGTTGGCTGTTTTGACAATTATTGCAAACAGAAACCTGCAAACCAATCAAAGTAAACCTGGCATCGCATGATTAATCAGGACTTAATCAGGAAAGGATGCTCGCAGGCTGCGGCCGTATTCATTAGGTCTCTACGCATCCTCTCACCTCTCCTGCGGAAAAACGTCGCGAGTCTTGCGACGATGACTCCCCAACCAACCCGCCACCCGACCCCATCCCAGCGCACATCCACTCTCACCTGCAAGTCAGGGCATCCCGTAATGCAGGGCTTGCCCCAGCCACGCGCCACCACGGCCGCGTGACTAGTCATGCCGCCAAGCTGGCACAGCACTCCCTCGGCACTGTACATGCCCTTGACGTCCTCGGGGCTCGTCTCCCTGCGCACCAACACCACCGGCAGTCCGCTGCTCCTCCAGGCCTCCGCGTCCTCCGCGGAAAAGACCGCCTGACCCACGGCGGCCCCGGGGGAGGCTGGCAGGCCTGTGGTAACGATACCGGTGATGAAAATAGACCAGGTATTAAAAACGACGGAGGTGAAGGCTAGTTGTAGCTGTAGTTGTCCCTAATTACTGATAGTAGCATGTAAAAACTGTGAGGATTGAATGCCAGTTAACAACAGACCTCCAAATGACAACGGCCCCCGCATGGGTTGCCGTTTGGCGAGAATGCGGCAACTACCTCACCGCCGAACAGTCGGAAGTTGTATCGGTGTGGGGTTCGCCCCCTATCGTCTCGTCACCACGCATATTGCAATCCATCACCGCGCATCCCTATAGGCCTACATTCATTAGAACACTCAACATTCGATAGCAGCAGACAGACTATGCAACAGCAAAACATATTTTTCATTAAAGGTAAAACAAACCATCACATCTCTGCCCCCTGCAATTCCATTGTCAAACGCAGCACTCCTACATATCAAGACACCCGTACTGTTCGCCTTGTAAGATACACATATTTATGGTGGCGAAAAGCTACAGGGGCCCTACCTTTCCCGACGACGTCCTTCAGGTAAGCCTTCTCGTCCGCGAACTGCGGATGAAGCAGCTGGTCAAGGTGACCAGGCTCCACCATCATAATGGCAGTGTCCGGGCCTACAACACCCTCATCCACCAACTCCACCGCGATTCGAACCGCGGCCGTGCCGGTGCGCTTTCCTGAGCGGCACTGTAACATAAACAGCTTGCCCTCCTGCACAGTGAACTCGATATCCTGCAAGCAATTTCATTTCGCATGCGGTATGAGTCAGCGAGGATACCACGTTGAGTTCGGTACCGGGGGAGGCCACACACGGCAAACTCAAACAACGACATCCACCATGCCGCCGCGTTTTACTGCAAAACCTAGCCTCAGCCTAAAACCTAAAAAAATCCCAACGTCTACATATGCGGTACATCTACATAGAAGCCTCCAAAACCCTAATTCTTCGTACCTGCATGTCCTTGTAATGCTTCTCCAATAGTGCGCAGTTATCCAGTAACTGCTGGTAGGCGCCTGGCAGAGTGCGTGCCAGTGTCTCGATGGGCTCGGGGGTGCGAATGCCCGCCACAACATCCTCTCCCTTTCGGAGTCAAATATAGGGTTGGGGGAGGCTAGTTAGGCGTGGGAAAGGGCTTTCGGATCCTTGCCCGGTAAGGAAGTTGGGGAGACACAGGCACCGGAAAGGGGCTTGGATGTGCGGGGAAAACAGGTAGAAGAGAAGGCGATGACAAGAGAGTGTGTCAGTTCTGAACGCAGCAAGGATAACAGAGAAAGCGAGCCGAGACATACTACACGGGTCGCGTGGTGAAATAGCCTTGAGATTGTTGTATTGGGTTATTAGCTTGGATGAATCAGGCAGGTGGAGTAGGCGGTTAACATGAATATACGAATGCCATGTTCCCGCCGCACTGTGCGCTCTGCATCTTTACATTCATTTTGACGCGCATGTCGTACCTGCGCATTGATCAGGTACTCGCCGTATAGCTTGCGCTCGCCGGTGGAAGGGTTACGGGTGAAGCAGACGCCGGTGCCGCTAGTAAGGCCCATGTTGCCGAACGCCATTGCCTACAAAAAGGAGAAACCATTTTCTTGAAAGGATTACAAGACGAAAATGAAAAGTGGTAACAGAACATTATGTTTATTATGAAGCGAGGTTTATTATGCGAGGTTTATTTGTTTTTGAACGCTCCGTTTCGGTAGTTTCGATCGGAAACTGATTACGGAGAAACGGACCACCATGAAAGTTGCCGTTCCAAAACCTGAGACAAAAAGCTTAAATAAAACCTTGACTTGTACCATAATATGACACAAGCGAAGTACACGCCATGAGCTCTCGACAAACCCTACAAACCGAATATGTGCAATCATATCCGGGCACGTAAGGATGCATGCGTGCATGCATCACATGGCCGTTAGGAGTTTACCTCATCGAATCGCATACCCTACATATGCTTACGTCTTCGCGCGCGCCTTCGCGTACGATTTCGCGAACCCACCTGAACATTGACTGCCGTGCCGGCCAATCCTTTGATACCGTTGACCGAACGGTACACGTTGGCACGCTCGCTCTGCCAACTGTCGAACACGGCGTAAATGGCCAAACGCAGCTGCTCATACGGGTCCTCAGGGAAAACCTGTAAGTCTCATCCAAGTAAAAGGCAGCAAAAGAGCTGGATTAGGATAGGCAGCTTGATCAAGAAAAAAAGGCCTTGCCCCGGGTCAAACTCTCGCGACATACCATGTCGACAGCACAGCAGCAACAAAAGTTGAAACAAATGCCAGGAGAAGAGAAAGGAAAACTCTGGTCAAAACTGGCCGCAGCGTCAGCACGCTAAGAAAGGAAACCAAAACAGGCAGCAATAGGAGACCTCCAGACCCCAGACCAACAATATTTGACGCACACCGACCCGGCTTGGAAGGTTCATGCCTAAGCACCAACCCCCCCCCTCCCACCTTGCCCAGCTGCTTGTAGACCTCCTTGTAACGGCCCACGAGGACCTTCAGATCCGCCGCTGTAAGGGCCGTGTCCTCCGAAACCCGCCGCTCAGTCTGCGAGACAAAGATGCGTCCGATAGCATTAGGTTTGTAAAGACGCATGGTATGGTGTACAGGTCGAAAAGTCAAACATTTACAAGGTGTGCGGCAAGCAGGGTTAGTTGACCATCGAAAAGGCGGGCGATGCCCTTCATCACAGGTACCCTGTCGTACCTTGAGGCGTTCCAGCTGGTCCTCGAACAGGTGATGCGGGATGCCCATCACGACATCGCCGTACATGTCCAGAAAGCGGCGGTACGCGTCGTACGCGAAACGCTCATCACCAGCACGCGCCGCCAGACCCGCGGCACACGCGTCGTTCAAACCCAAGTTCAGGACGGTGTCCATCATGCCTGGCATTGACACCTGTGCATGTTGGTGTTCAGGTTTTCGTCAAACCAATACGCGGCTGTTACACCGTATAAGGTACGGCAATCAAGAAATGGTAAACAAAATACTTGACAGGCACCCACTTGGACAAAGTGGTTGGTTGGTTGTTAGTGTGATAGGAGGAACATACATATCTGAAGCTAAAGTTTTGAAACCCAGGAAAAGCCGCCATGATGCTGCTTCGGCCAGAAGTGGCTACCACCACCTCCACCACCACTACCATTACCACCACCACAATCACCACAACATCCCTTCCCAACTTACGTCGCCATCGCCCCATCCCCCCTACTCCAAGCTAGGCTCCATCCCCAGGGCGTTTTGGTTCTCACACAGACCGGGCCTTCCCAACTCCATCATTCATATCGGGGCGCCCAAGGGCGCCCAGCCGTGTGAGGCAGGGGTCTTACCGCGGCACCCGAGCGGACGGACAGCAGCAGCGGAGCCTTCGCATCCCCCAGTTTGCAGCCCATCTCGTCCTCCACAGTACGGAGGCCCGCAAGAACCTCCTCCCAGCAACCGTTCGGCAGCTTGCGGCCTTCGAAAATGAGTGGAAAGAGCAAAACGACGATATGAGGATGTGGATGTGGAGATGCGGATATGAGGATGTGTTTTAATATTATAAAAGAAAAGAACCACTATCTAGAGCAGCCAAGTCTCCTCTGCGCCAGATTCAAGATCGGTGTCGTCCGAAACGACGGTAGCCGACTGGATAGTCGCGTGACTATCCGCAAGCACTTGGGTTGGGTCTACAGCCGAACGGAAGTGAGCACATGCTAAATATGCGTAAGCGGTAAAGGCGCTGTCGTCCTTCCTACCATTAGAGTGGAACTCCGCGCAGGTGTCGGTAGTGATGGTCAGGCCGGGCGGCACGGACAGGCCGATGCGCGACATCTCCGCCAGGTTGGCACCCTTGCCACCCAGCTGTTGGCGGATCATGATGCAAGACAAGCAGGAGTCAACCAACGGGCGCGGGCATCTCCGGTGAAGGGAAACCGACCCGTGGAGCGATAGCAACGAGTTTTTCAATGCAGCGCGTTGTGGTGAATATGACCATGTTAATCACACCGACACAGGCAGCAGGCTCGTTCTGGCCCTTCGCGCTCACCAGCTGTTTCATGGACGCATCGCCCTGGCTGTTGTTCTTTCCAAATGTGTAAACCCTCTGTAAAGAACAAAACGAATGTTACACAATTGCTATGCCCGATGGCGGTGCGCGACGCAAAGAAACGCTGCAAGCTAATGGCCGACCTTGGTCTGGGCGACCGTCGCCGACTCGACTGTCGCTGCCGACGGGACGATGCGGGGGACAATGCGTTTCAGCGGCTCCTGCTTCCCCAGTGGACCGACTGGCAGTGTTCCCTGCTGCTTTTCAGCAGTTCGCGCCGCAGCCGTATGCCGGCAAGAGCGTCCCTGGCCCCGCAGAGGCGGCGCAACTACCTTTCCAGGACCTAGTAAAATTGAAACATGACTAGTTGGGCTACGAAGGGTCTGTTTCTGCATTTTTGTCTCAATAAGCTTGAAAAGACGGTCTCTCAAAATGAATTCAATTGACGTATCACGTATATATCTATTAGTTTATCAAGGTAAAGATGGTTTCATTTCCTAAACTTGTTATAATAACGGTGCCTCATTACTCCGTCGTACAGCCTGGGCTTGAACCGGTAAACCTTTGCTTTCTGGGACGACTACATCGCGTTTTTGTTACAGCGTTTTAGAAATTCACCACGTTCTGGTCTCTCTCCTATTTCATAGCCAAACGAAAGATCCTTTCCCAGTCCCTAGAGTTTTGGTCCGTTCAGCACGTGTCTTCCAGAGGTTTTAGTCAGGTTCATCACACACGAACTAAACTGCTTGCTAACAGTAAATTTTCTGTCTCCGCAGAGACGAGGGGCTGGGAGCTTGGGAAGAGGAAACGCGTGAAAGGTGGTTGCGCTAACGACCAACATGCAACGGAAATATGCTGTGAAGCAGCTACCGGTATACAAAGTAGTGCGATTAGCTCCCCCGTCATGTGTAAATCTTTCGAAATCCTATCTTCTGCACCTGCTATTTTCGTAACACATTAGGCCCAGGATAATACATATGCCGTGGAGTCACACCGGCAGGCACAGGACTGATGCCTCTTATAATGATGACGCAAATCGACGCGTTTTTTATGCCTAAATTCCCATTTTTTTATGCTTGCATATTTCATGCGACAGGCTGTGTTCATTTGCAGATTGTGAACCGCTTCGAGAGTGATGTTTCGCTTCGATTACATCGATCCGCTTTTCCGACCGATGAAAGCCGTAAACACAAACCTCAATTTCAAATATTAACAAGGTTCTCGGCCATCCTAGCGGCTGGAGCAGCGCCACGCGCTGGGACTTGCTCCACCACCGCCGAGGAGGGATCCAAATAATAATCCAAAACATCCATGAACACGTCTCGATCTCATTTGAACCATCAACCACCACAAGGACTAGCACGGTTGCGACAACTCTCAACCTAGAGACAAGGGCACGACGCTGCATCTGCTACCAAGGCCAACCAATGATAATAAGGCCATATCAAAAACCTGTGTACGACACGTATTACGCCCCAGCCGGGACATGTTTCCCAAACGCGCACGCGCCGCCAAGTGCCGCAAGGTAGCCACACGGACCTCCATGCGACCGGGGAAGGGATACGCCATCCACCAGATTGCCGTACCATCCATGACAACTCCTGACCAGCAGCGCAACTACCAACGGCTTGTGGGCATCAGAAAAACATCCACCCCTCCACCACCCAGTATGGCCTGGCCTTGGCATTCACGAAACCGTTTCGAGTCCACGCGATACGGTACAGTACCGTACCGAACCGAACAGCAACAAACTTTCCATCCAACGGCCAACCGGCAACAGTTCCTTCTAAACTCTAAAAACCTGCCCGCGCTCCTCCCGATCAGCCGTCAGGCGCTCCACCACGAAATGCCACCCCTGACTATGGGGCCCTGACACTCTGAACTTCACTGACCCACCATCGAGAACAAACCGAGTTCAAGCGGGGCTTGGGAAGATATATCCTGCTTCTTCAAAACCTCTCAGCCCGTTTTACAAAACAGAACGAAATTCTTACACCGTGTCATAGTGTGCGCATCACTCGCTTCTCTCATTCTTCCCCTGCATCCATCTATCCATCTGGAACAGCATGTCATGCAGCAGATGTCTAAAATTGTAAGCAATGAAAGCTCTCATGGTGGTGGAGGTACGCTGCCGCGATTGACCATAAGTCCCACAGCCGCCGCGGAGTAGCGTATATACAGCACCCACGCTGATATGAACACTCCTTCACCTCCGCAGGAACTAAATCCTGGTTTCAGAAACCGAATAGCACAAAAGCCAAAGAGATACAACTGCAGAGAGTCAAAACAGTACTGTACAGCCTGACGCAAACGCATTCATCACTATCTCGCACCGCACCCTGTAACTCTCGACTCTTCAACGCACATGCGCCACACCGACAACTCCGACACTGGTAGAGATCTTTGCCTTCCCATCGCCATGTCACGACCTAAAAGTGCCAATACGGACTTTGCCGCACAGAAACACCGGCATGTAACTGCCAACACGGGGGCGCTTAGAGCATGTGAACATTACCCTAGACCAGGCCGTGACTTGTCTCTGGGCCCCGTAAATGGACCCCATAAGGACCTGACGTGATGGCATTACAGCACAGTTACAGCACAGCACAGCCGCGGGCAGCACTGCAGCGCCGAGCATCCGCTGGGACTAACGCATCTCTCGTATCCCATGCCCCATGCTGTGCGGCATAAGCATGTCAAGGGACTCCTCCTGCCCCCAGCCCTGCCCTCTCATCACTCATCATGGATTAAACCGGTTCAGATAGGACAATTAAAATTACATGAGGTCAGCAGCTCCAGTTTCCCCAGTCAGAAAGTACCTTGATCACCACGCCGCATTGCCGCTCACTCAGCATCTCCGAAACCATCAGGCCCAGGAAGCCAACCTGTGCGCGCGAGACAGAGGGTATCCATTGAGAACACATCACGGTAAGGATTGCCCGCGTGTCACGTGTCAAATGCTGCAGGTGACTAAACCGACTTCTACTCTATATGAGACGTGAAGTGGGCATCATCGCATGCAAGTGCCTGATTATTGTTGTTCAAGCAATCCTCGCCAAAATGCGCTGCTCCGCCATATCTTGTCGGACCTGTGCATGCGGGTGTGAAGTGCGAGGTGCGGAAGAGGAACGGCCAGACATGCAGAACGGCAAACCAAAGGTACACTGTACATGCCACATAGCGCAGAGACCGTTGGTGATTGGTGGCGCTTCAGTGCCCGTGGTAATGTACCATGGGACACCAAAGAACGTGGTGCTTAGTGACTGTGGTGGAGATCGCGAACCGCTGCTGCCGAGGCCATTCATGAAGGCCGAAATTACGGTCTTGAGGCGTCTCTTGGAATCTCTGGAGAGCAGAAGAGCTGGTGGGTGTTCGTCTGTCTGCTGCTTGGCTCTATTTGACTATGCCGGCTGACGGCTGCTGGCTGCCGAATGCCACCACCAGATGATTATTACGAGTAATAGAAACCGAGGGAGCAACACTGCCTTCCCTGCAGCTTTCCTCCTGACTCAGGACTTTTGAGGCCGCCCTAAGCTCAACGACCCTAAGCTCGCCCGCCAAGTCCCGATGGACTGCAACGTGGCCTTCCCGAACATGCGCTCGTGTGGCGTGCATAGTGAGGTGTTATCGAGGTCATCAGGTCTCAAAAGTAAAGGGTAAGGAGCCATCTCTCGGCCTGTGGGCAGGCAAGCTGTCCTCCGCGGAGGAAGGACAGCTCTGTATCAGACGTGTCAGTGGGCGAAGGACACTGCAACCCGCCGACACGTTGCTTTTGACTCACCATGGCGACGCGGCCGTTGAGGCGCTCGGCATTGTAGTTCCACACGTTTGGCATGTCGCCGGACATGGATGGTGGATTCTCCTCATCCGGGAAGACATTCTGTACTGGCACACGGCCTAGGATGGCTGGCGCGACCGATGCAGCCAAGACCAGGGCTCCCACCAACATGGCATTGTACGCGCCCTCCGTGGTGAATAGCTGCCGCACCACGATATCGTCGTTCACGACTTCGCCAAAGAGACCCAGGAAAACGCCCAACATAGCAGCACGACCGTTGACGAGCTCAGCAGCGGCGCTGTCCGCGCGCAAGACCTGGCTCAACGCCTCGAATGACAGTCCGATGACCGCCGTCGGAACAGGGTTCCTCACATCGACGCGGACCTTATTGTCTGGACCGAAAACTGCGGGAAAGCGCAGGCCCTTTGCATAGTCGATGACCACCAGTTCGTCGAGCGATGGCTCATACGAGATTGTCAGGTTGTAGCCGGAGTCGGTTGTTTTCTGCAGGGGGGAGGAAAACACAAAATATGATCATAAACATAATGTAATGAAAGAGCATTGTAGGCATGTTAGAGCATGCACCTGTCGCGCATAACTGACATATTGACACAGGATGTAGTAGTGCACACCTGCAATGGGATGCCCTGAAGCTCCATAAGCGTTGTCTTCGCGAGATTCACTGGCTGCCAAGTGCGCGTATCTACATACGTGTCTGTACCGGGAGCAACCAGCTGCGCTGAGGATAGAGGAGAAGCAACAGGGACCAGTGCTGCGGAGCCATTGCCGCCGGTGCCAGTTGAAACCGCCTTACAGCGCACATTTACTGGCCTAAAGGCTACGGTAAGCTGCTTTAGGGGTGGCAGGCCCTTAACTGGTAGTTTGGCAGCGTGCATTGTAATAGGGAACCTTTGGGCACCAAACTCCCTGATACCGTGTGGGTGTTTTTCGGAACTGTGAAATCTTAAAGTGTAGGCCACTGTGCAATTTTGTGAGCCCACATTCCCGTGTATCCGGCCAGAACCCTACTATGCAGTACGATGTTCGCCAGTGGTGTTGCTTTGCCAATTGTCTTTGCTTGACTTTACAAGTATATGTTCGATTAGGTAAAAGGTGATTATTACTGTAATGGCTGTGTAATATTTATTTACCGTTGCCATCCTATCTCGCAGCGCACTAGACAGCGCATCAGACACGCTTGCTGGCATCCGATCAGGGAGCGTGGCGTTCATTGTCACTGTAATCAGCAGCTCTTTGGATAGGGCCACAGACTTAACCAATCGCCATAGTAGTTTACTTCCGTTATAGTCTAGGCAAGCATCGTGATGGACTTCAAACTCGGGTCAGCGCCTCGTGTCGATTTGAGGTTGAGATCACAATATAGACCATGGAATATCGCTTTTAACACAATTCGATTAACATGTAGCAGGCAAATTTAGAGCGTTCGACTTGCGCCCCATGGGTCTTGCGGCGCTGGTGTTTGTGAACAACCGGTGTCGTTGCCAGGTGTTCATAAAATGAACAACTCACTGCCTGGAGGGTACGTTTAGGTCTATAATTCTGCCGCGTTTTAGCAAGCACTTTTTGGAGTCGGTGAATGCCAGTGCTGCAGGCATACGCAAACGCTTGCCAGCTGCAGAAATGTACAGCGCCGTACCCGCCTTAAGATCGAGCCTGCGGTAAAGTTCCAAGTCTGTGGAGGTCTGGGCTGAAGAGTTTCCAAAGCTGTGCTGTCAGGTGCTGTGCTGTGCTGTCCTGCGATGGAATCAGAAATAGGCACTAGGCAGGCCTGGAGTCGGGGGGTTCGCAGTTACGTGCGATCCGCCAAAGGGGGGTGGTGTGGTCCAGTGTTAGAAGGCCTCCTGCCTAGACGTGCCTAGTGGGTATGTTAGCCTGCGGATTCACTGTGATCCACCCCAAGACGAGCCCGAAGGTCCCTTTCCGACACCTGCTGCCGCCGGTATCTGAAAGCAGCATGGATTGACACCTTTGCAGCTCCAACGGGGATAAAAGAGGTGGCGCGAGGCCGTCTTGTTAGGAACCAAATCATTTTCATCTGTCAGCGTGCACTAGCCAGTACAGTAGCAAGCAGCAGCTCGGCTGGGAGCTTTTCACTGAACCAGGTGTAGGCAAGGCACTCCTTATGCATATTTAGGAATTTTCATTACTTTCCACTACGGTCAACCGATTTTTACCGCGGCCAGTAACCGATTGGTAGGGTAGCCTATCGGTAGGTTGACCCACCTGTTGGGTAACCCTTTAAAAAAGGCCGGTAGGTAACTTCCTCTCGGCCCTCCCTTACCGAGGCCCCACCCTAATAGCCAGTTCACATGCTACGTTACGTTAAGACTTTTTGGGAAAAGTGGTCGGTTCGGACATGGTAACGGTACGTTACCGGTAAAGTGGACGAAAAGTCTAAAGTGACCCGGGGGGGGGGGGTGAATTTCGACCCCTCGTACCGTTACCTGAATTGCGTCGCCAATTTCGCGAGTTATAACAAACAGCCAAGCCCAATCGCTTATAAAGACCACATATTTGACAAATTGTGCGCGCTTTGCACTCCGACCGAATTTCTAGTCACACCGCTGCAGTTTACAAGGACAACGCCGCTCGTGTTGCTCGCCCGCGCACGACCCCTTACATAGCCAATATGTAACCCATTGTAGTATCAGGGCTGAAGCCATCCGCGAAATGGCAAGTCGGCCGCACTTCCGGCGGCATGGGCCGCGCCGCGTCGGCCCAAACGCGCAAGCACTGCCATTGAGAATTGAACATATCCTCAAGGTTGTCAAAAATTACATCCATAGCGGCCGCTAGGGCAAACGCCATCGCGGCTCGCGCGGGATGCAGTGCCATTGCTGTAGGCAGGGCTGCCAATAACCCGTCAATTATATACTGCGATTCTAAGGGGATGTGCTGCAGTTTTGGCCATTGAAAGACATAAAATGGAGATGGTTTACACAGCTCGCGCCAACGAACACAACGTCGTCGTAATGTCCCATGTGAACTGGGTGACTTTTTCAGGCCCACTTTTCCAAAAAAGTTTTCGCAACGTAACGTAGCATGTGAATCCAGTATAACGAGGGGTTGGGCACGGGTACCGATTGGTCACCGGTCGAATGTATACCATAGGAAAGCAGAAAAAAGTGATGTGACTCTTAACTTGCAGGTCGGTCAGCTTGGGTGGAAATCCTGCCAGCAAGCTTAATGCGAAATGCGCCGCAGTTTACGGCCGTATGCCTTTGGTGTCGATGGCGAACGCTCCATGATGATTATTTATCATGGTTTCAAGAGTAAGAGACGTTTGCCTGACTGACTCGGCTAGTGGAAAATGGCAGTAAACTCAGAGCGCACCGGAAGATGAACTCCTCACGCAGGTCATCATGAAACACGAAATGCACCCCAGAACGAGGCTGTTCCGAGAATGGCAAAGAATTGAGGTCCAATGGAAGCAGAGGGGCCATTGACCCAGCTTTCTAAACAGAGCCTTAGAGAAGCTGTGGGTGAGGTTGTGGGAACGACGACTGGCGCTGCAGGCATGCCGTTCCAGCGCCACCACCTTTGACTTATCATGAATGCCCCGGGTCTGCCCTCGCTGGTGTGAGACGTAGTTGCCCTGGCGGCCCTGGCGGGGCCTTGAAGCGTGGTCGTCAACGCATCAACCGTGTCTGGGATTCTCGCACTGCCCTCTCGCGCGCGAAGCTGGTGGGCATTGCTACTGAAGTCAAGGCTGATTTCTGGGCACGTTTTGTGTCATTCGAGTCGTTGGGCGTCCCCCCCCCAACTGGGAAGCTGTCCCGTCACAACCAGTTCCTGGCGTGTGTGTTCGGTCCCTTGTCTTCCGGGGACCCCCAACTCTGCCTCCCCGTCCCCGTCCCGGCGTGCGTGACGTTGTACGGCGTGGTCGTCGCTGTACTTGGATGTGTTGACTCTTCATGCGTCACGTGCAATGCTCGGACTGTGTTACAGACCCTTGATGGTAAAACCGCTGGTAGGCATGGTGTGGAGCCTGTCGGTGGCTTCGGTTCCTATGTCGTGGTAGTCTGTTCTAACCCAGGTCTCACTGGGTGCGCCCCCTGCCTTAAGTCGCTGGTCCGTACATCAGTTATAGCGGCCGGACCATTTAAATTTGATTTCCGTTTTGATTCTCGCTTTCCGATTCCAGATTTTTTTGAGTCACCCTTAACTGCTGCGCTGACACAGTCGACATAAATTTGCTTTCCTCGCTCGTCTACAATGACCAGGCCTATCCACATACAAGCGACGTCCGCACGGCTGACGTCTTCGTGCTTACACGTCGGGTCAAAGCACCGGGCATTCCACGCAACTTCCTAAGCGGGACGTGAACGGAGTAAGCCCGTACTCTTCTAGCAAACATTCATGTATTCTTATTGCCGACTATACGGCCTGCTAAAGCGTACGCTCATGCGCCCATTCCAGACCGCGTTACTCCTATGTGTTGAAACATGCCCGCTGTCAAAACGCCACTTTCTGAAGGGCCCTCCCGAAACACGCGGTTTTTATGACAGGTCCCAGGTGTAAATAGAAACAACCCATGCTTTTCACTCTGGCAGGACTTTCCCAAGAGCACACTGTACTTTCCACTTCATACACTGTGCCCTAGCCGCCGCCCTGCCAAGGCACTCACCAACATGCCGACAGGACAACACTTGGTCGAGGTCCCACTCGCCCATCAGCACATGCAACCGGACACAAGCGACTGACGCTCATTGGCAAGCGTGTTCACAAGCACTTATGACCGACACCCAAGGCATCTGCTGCGCCCCCTCTTCCGCCTCATGATTTCAGCCCCCGCTGTCTTCTCGCATCCATAATGCAGGGAACAGCCTTCGTCCCAGTGTGTCTGTCCTGTTGCATGCATTTGCTCTCCCCAATGCCCAATCGCCGGGCCAGCTCATAAAACATAGTCAGTTATGCTTCCGAAATATATCCACCAGGTGTGGGACCTGCATGTGAAATCCTGCAGCGTTACTTCCCTTCCCCCCCACGCAAGAGGCGCATGATGGGAAGGGGCCCCAGGAATTGACACGTACGGCATACGCGCATGCAAGTCACGCCCACATTATGACCACATCTTTCAGTCCCAAGTTCTTTGCTGCTACACCGCTGCTGCTACTGCCGCCGCCGCCAGCAGGCAATGGCTGGATACCATTTTCACCGTAAGTAATCACCACACGTCACCTGCTTCTTACACTACCCGACAAAAGACAGCCGCCAAGACCCCCGCAAGAAACGCACCCGACACAAACCCATACAGGAGCCCAACAACGCTACGACGGCGACATCGGCTTCCTGGTTGCGGCAGTACCTAGAAAGGGCCACCGTAGAATTTTGCTCCTGCTCCTCACTGTAGCTTGGACTCCGCAAAAGCAGTCGCGGCCCCCAGGGCCTCATCCACCTTCTCGACGTTGGCGCCCTGGCCCTGCGCGTTGTTGGCTTTGCCGCCGCCCTTGCCGCCCAGCGGCCCCAGAGCCGTGGAAACCCACTCGTTCGCTTTTAGCCTGTCCAGGGCAAGACGTGGATGGCAATACAGTAAGGCCTAGTAAGTGCACGGCCGGCAGGAGGTACATAGTTGGTCTCTAGCTGGCTACCAACAGAGGCTGTCAAGGTTCTGCGCATTTCCGCGATTTCCCAACCCCCGGGGCCTCGACTGCTCGTCGTCAACCTGTTTCCGTCCCCGCGTCCTACTCACACTGGAAGCACTGCCTTAATACCAGAGACACACAGACAGACGCACAACCAAACACGGCTTTGGTGCGGTAGACGTCAGCGTCTTTACATCTGAACCGCATTATAGCCACAAAAAGAGCGGTCTACACACACATCTTTTTCTCACACCTGTCGGTCACTGAGTCCGGCACCGCAGCGTACGCCAGCGCCTTGCCCTTCTCCGCATCCACCGATACGAACAAGGCCGCCAGCGTAGAGTGCTTGGCGATGATGGCGGAGCAAGCCTCGCCGACGGCACGAGTGTCCAGACCCACATCCAGCCTGTCCACCAAAATGGGAATTTGTGGAAAAACATTACCAGGGAGGATCACCGGTATTTCGGGTGAACATGAGGTGCCGAAGGATGAGAGCCAAAGAAACAAACCTCAAAGACAGTGTACTACTGTAACGGATGCGACAACGTACAGATATGGACAAGCCATGGCGGGCACTAAGAGCCCACGCCGGTCTCGCGTCAATATAATCGGACAGGAAAACGCCCCTCCAAGCCAGCGCACCTGCCAATCACGAAGCTCTTGCCCGCCGCTACCGCGGCGTCGGCAGCTGCTACAGCACGCTCCGCCGCCAGGGCCTTGTTGGCAGCGGCAGCAGCCTTTTGGAACTCGATCACACGGCGGCCCAGGACTGCAAGCTCATCGCGGAGGGCTGCCTTGTCCACGGCGGGAATGACAGCGGCATCCACAGACTGGCGGGCGGGCGGGGGAGACCGCGGGCGGGGAAACAGGTGCACGTGGGTTTACGTCTATGCACATACACCATACATGCACACATATGCATGCACACATACACAACGAACAAAACTCAAGATACACAAGCCGTGGAGTTTCGTGCCACGGTGCTCCGGTGAGTTACTAGGTGCCAACCACAAACACGCAGCAGCTAGCCGTACCTCCTTGAAGCCCTTGCAGGCCTTCTCCAACTGGTCCTCTGGCAGCGTGGCAATAGATGCCAGCTCCGCCTTTAGATCCGCTGCCGCCTCGATGGCACGAACCGCATCCCCGCGGGTCACTGCCACGATACGGCGAATACCCTTGGCAATACCCTCCTCGCTCAGCAGCGCAAACGCTTCCGCCTGCGCGGAAGACAAACAACCCCCACGAGGGAAACCGGAAAGGGGAGAGTCGCGAAAAAGGAGGAAAAAAGGGGAGAGGGAAAAGCTAAGAAGAAAGAGTGCCAACCTAATCGTTATTTTTGTCACTTATTATCATCTTATAAATAAACAAAGCAATCAGAGTGTGTCCAGATGCGTGAACGGTTTCCGCCTCAACTTTGCCTCTCACCTCCGACGTGTTCGAAAGGTGGGTTCCTCCGCAAAACTCAATGGAAAAGGCCGCGTTGGCTGCGTCCTTGGGGTCCGCCAGCAGCTCCTCCACCGCCCGCCCAATGGAAACCACGCGCACAGGGTCGGGATACACCTCACCGAATACGGCACTGCAGGGGACAACAAAACGCGACGGGTTGGGGTTAACAGTACACGAGGTTGGGCATCTATCAAATAGCATTTTCCTGGATATTACCGAAGGATGAATGACCTTTCCTAACCGACGTAACTGAGTCAAAAGGCCTGAAGCATATTTCAAGGCTAAAAAAGGGCTTTGACCTAACCCATATGGTCAAATGCGCTTGGTCAGCAGGTCGGTGGGTGGGAGAACAGACGTGAGGACAGAGGGAAAGGAGCCGACACGGACCGACACGAGGGACAAGACTGGGGATATGTGCTTCCAACATGTTCGTTAAAGTGCACCTAGGGAATCTGGGCGCCGTTGTGAAGGTCTAAAAGGGGATAACCTACGCGACTAGGGAGAGATGGATAAAGATCAAGATGATTAACGCACGAGACCTACGGGAACTAACGATGCCAAGTGGAAATGCGGCGAGTGGTCTCTTCCACCAAGTGCCAAACCTAATTCAGCTCCCCACAACGAAAAATGAAGCGAACTCTCAAACACAATCGCAGTTCCACATAACAGCTAACTGAGAGAGCGAAAGAAGACCATAGCAAAACGCGGAACGTTGATGCCCGCCAAGAGCACTGACAGTACCAATGACCTTCTCACCGCAGGCCGTTGATGGACCGCGCCTGCGCCAGCGGCACCTCTCCGCTATGCACCGGCATGGCAGCGGCGACGGCCTCCCGGCAGATCTTCTCCACGGCCGCCAGCTGGTTTGCTTCCACGGGGCCGGCGTTGGAGAAGTCGAATCGCAGCTTGTCTGGCAGCACAATGGAGCCCTTCTGGTCTACATGGTCGCCCAGGGTGGACCTGCAGTGGTTGGTGCCGGCGCAGATGTTGTGGCTCTGCTATTACGTTATCGTCGAGGTCGTCGAGGGAGACTGCTCGTAGCAACACTGACAAAGAAACTAGGACGTACACTTTAAGGAGGATGTACACTTTAAGACAGAAATGGGCGGAACGCGATAAAGAACACGGATGGACAAAAAGGACAACTGATGGCGCAGCAACCCGCAGGTGATCGCAACAATCCAAACTGGGAGCCGTCGCATTGAAGCTGTCTTCGCCTTCGCCATCGCGAGCGATGCAAACTTCCCCCTCGGGTGACACCCTTGCAAGCCAACTCTTCTACTGGCCGTGCTTCTAGTGATGCTGCTGTTGCTGCTGTGTGTGCTATGTCACTGAGAACAACGCAAACTTGCTCCCGCTCTTACTTTCGTCCCATCCCAATCCTGATGGTACGGACAAGCGTTTCACCCAAAACATTGCGGGAGCACAGCGCACTTTAGCTTTGCTTACTTGAGCGCAAAGTTGAGGACGTGCGTGAAAGTGTGGTTGGGCTTGATGAGGGAGCGGCGTTCGTAATCCACAGACACCGTCACCTCATCACCCACGCGGAAGGGAGCTACAGAGGCCTCGCCCACGTGGAGCACGAAACCGGCAGCAACCTGTAACGTTTAGGAGCAGCAGTGGAGCGGACAGGAAAGGGCGTTGTGGTGGGACACCACGACGGCTGAGCGATGCGAGGATTTGAAGCGGCGCAGAGTGAGCGTTGCTGCATTCAAAACGGCGCGATCCAAAGCGTTTTCTCGATTTATGATGCGGCGCAGGAGAGAGTATTCGATGTGACGAAGAAGCGGCGAGAGGGCAAAACGCTGAGACACGTTTGAGATGCACGGAAGGAGAGCCGCGCTTCCTCTGCAAAACCACCACCACAGACGAAGGTCACATTCACAACACGCACGCACACCTGGCAGTCCGACACCACCAGCGCAGCGCCCTCCGGTCCCCGGATGGCACCCGTGTCGCCAATCTGACCGCCGCTCTCAGCGTAGAAGCTCGTGGTGTCCAACACGAGACCCACGGGTCCGTCCTGGTCGGCCGCCTCCGAGGTCGACGCCACAAAGCCGCCTGGCGTAAGAATCGCCAAAACCTTGGCAGACACGTCAGAGCTGCCGTACTTGGGCGCATCGTTCTGTGGCGCAAGTCGAGGTGAGAGTTGAGTGGGGATGTTAAAAAAGTGGTAGTAAGATGCGAACATTACTTGGTTGACGAAGACGAAGGGAATTCCGCAGCCTCTCTCCCCTCCAACCCGCCACCCCCTTCCCAATTCCTTCTCCAATACCTTTCATCGCCTTCCCGTTCCCCGCACATTCCCCCTCCCTAAAGAGGCACCCCCACAAACCAGCCCACCCTCCCCTTCAGAATCTTACAGTGAGCGGCACACCGTTGGACTGCAGCCACCCAGTGGCCTCCGCCTCAAACTTGATACCCGCACCCGCGGCCTTCTTGCCACCCTGGAGTATCGCACACATGACGGCGATCAGAGGGGATCAGCAGAACCAGACGGGACCATCACAGCGGGGTCGTTGCTCAGATTTCAAGACGAAGCAAAGCAAGCGTAATTAGCCTACCACAGCACCAGTTTGACGTTGGTAAGCAGCGAGACATGAGTTCAAGAGCGCCTGGGACCACGTAGCCCTCCCACTGGCCTCCATCCGCCAAACAGCCAAGCCCCTGGCTACCCAATCCCTTGGCCTAGCCAGGGCATCATAGCGCTCCATATCTGCCCGAAACATATCTGCTCGACTCATCCATCCATCCTCCTCCCAGCTAAAACACCCCAGCAGCCTTCCTCTTCCGCAGCTGGCGCATTTCCTCCCACATATACACACACGCACCCCTACCTGTCGCGACTTCTCGCGCGCCTCATTGAGGGCTGCCTCGTACGCCGGCATGTCCACCGTCATGCCGCGCTCCTCCGCCATGAGCTGAGTCAGATCCACGGGGAAGCCGTACGTGTCCCACAGCACGAAGGCCTCGTAGCCGGGGATCTTGTTGTCAGTGGCCGCAGAGGCAGCCTTCTTGAAGCGCTCAATGCCTGGGCGGACGCGTGTGTTTGCGTTTGTGTGTTCAATGAGCTAATGAGCCGCCCGGGAAGTACAAGACAAAAGTCTTGAGCAGATTTCTACGTGTGTATGTGCGAGTAGTGTTTGTGTTGGGGCGGAGTGTACATCTAAAATATGTGCCAGAAGGCTGCGGAGGGTTGGAGAGGAGGGGAAAAAAAGGATGGCATCCGGGCTGTCCGCTGCTGTTGGCGCATTGACATCAACAGCGCCGCTGCCATACGCCTTATAGCGCTGCCACCGGCCCCAGACACTCACATTCACTCACCGCCTTGCACCCCCTTGCCCTCAAGCCCGACCTACAAGCAACCAAGCAACCCACCCTTGACGAGCGTGCGGCTGAACGCCGCCTCCTCCTCCCGCAGCACCGAGTAGATGGTGTCCCTCTGCTTGACCAGCTCGGGGAAAAAGCCACCGAAGTTGGCCACCACCACGTCCACCAGACCCGCAAAGAAGCCCTCCTTGGCACCCAGCGTCTCCCGGCCGTAACGGACGGCCCTACAGAATGTCAAATATAACATTTTAATGAACTGGACCAAGCCATACGTGCTAAAACGTGCTACAGCACAAACATCTGGAATCGATGTGCTCATTTGGGGGCTTTAGGAATTATAATGGGGCGACACATATCATAAATTGCTAACCACAGTACGTTATCTTCTCAAACATGGAACAGGGGTGTGGATGAGGATGGCACATGAAGATAATGAGCAGGGCGGGAGAACGGGCTTGAATCGGAATCGTGTTCAGAACCGGAATCGATAGGGGGTTTGGATCGAGGGCCGCACGAAGACCGGGGGGTTTCACATGGGAGTCACCTCCGGACCTGGACGAGTCATGTGGGATGGACGGTCAGTGGGCTGGACAGACAGACAGACGGACGGACATGGGCCCCACCTGCGCAGGATGCGGCGCAGCACGTAGTCGCGGCCCTCGTTACCCGGCCGAGCTCCGTCCGCAATGGAGAAGGACAGAGTGCGGATGTGGTCGGCCACCACACGGTACGCCATGTCGACACCGTCCGCGTCCTCCTTGCCAATCTGCGGTGCGGTTCGCATATGGAAAGAAAGGAAAAAATATCCATAAAGGAAAAATATCAATAAATGGGCTTAACATCCCGTAAAAAGGCCTGCCAAATTGAAAAGCCTGCACCACGAAGCAAAACGCGAGGAGCTCAGTTGCGTGTTTCGAGAGGTACAGCGGCGAAAATCAAAAGCCACATGCTCGCCAGCTGCGTCATGTTAGGCAAAGCATGCAGTCCTGCCAGGCAACGCAGCTCCTCCCCCAGACAGATACAATGCTCTTCCGCGACAGCGGACTATAGTAAACCACGGTACCGTACCGCACCTTGTCGGTGTAGGTACGGGCGCCGGTAACTTGCTGAATGGCGTCAAAAATTGGACCAAAAAGGTCGGTGGCGTAGTTAGACATTTTGCCCTGCGGGGCCAAGGGGGAGGTCGCAACGGAACGTGAAAATCGCACAGATTAAAATTTAACCTTCCACAAACATTCCATTCCCAGGACACCCAGAAGAGTATAGTCTACCCCATTTCCGTAAAGTTCTTTCGCAACTTTCCGTCCTGAATTCAGTGTACATTTTCCCTGCCCTTAGCCTGGAGTCTGTTTTTCTCGGTGCTACTACAAATGGAAAGCGGAACTGGCTCCAATTTCGCTAGAATTTTAGATACAGAGAGGCACACGCGTCAACAAGGATCGTCGATAACGAGTGGGAAGAAACATCAAGACACATGCTTATCAATAGTACACGCAGAATACACCAAGCATACATGCGTACATACCGACGAACATACCGACCCACCCACCCACGTGCCATGTAATCTCATGCAATCTGCACCTGCCCAACGCCGCAACCGCCTACCTGCAGCACCGAGGTAATGCGCTCCAGACCCATACCCGTGTCCACATGCTTGGCTGGCAGCGTCTTGAGGGTTCCATCCGGCTCGCGGTTGAATTGAATGAACACATTGTTCCAGATCTCCAACACGTTGGGGTCGTCCGCGTTCACCAGGTCCGCGGCGTCGCGACCGCCGATACTGCCAACAGAATGAAGATGGGATGAAAAAACATGGACTTCATGGAGACGACTGTGCACGCGATTCATAAATCGCCCTAGGGTAAACCACTCTTAAGGAACACTACCGAAGCCCGTAATTATGATGGCCCAGAATGCAGCTGGGAAAAAGGTAATAGCGAAGCTTTCGTCATGTGGACGGAACGGGCAGCGGACAGCAACAATGGCACAACTTTAACATGCAAGCGCTACGTGTAGACGCATGTCCTATCGGAGACCCTCCGTCATAGTTCGATGGCTCGTAATCGCACCACCACCATCACCACCACCTGCCCCTGAGCCCGTCTTCTTCGTAGATCTTTTACTTTCTTCCCCAAGTAAAACTTCTCCTTCAACGCCCCCGCTCACTCACTCACCGGTCAAAGTGGATCTCCGTGCACGGCCCGCATGGTCCCTGGTCGCCCATCTCCCAGAAGTTCTCCTTGTTGCCGTACGGCAGTACGCGGCTCTCCGGCAAGAAGCGCAGCCAGATTTCACGCGCCTCGTCATCAGCAGGCAGACCCTGGGCATTAAACCAACAACATTAATGGTAACAACGCCAAACAACGACGATAACGAATAAAGCATCAAAAACATAATAAACGATAGTAACAACGACGATGAAGAGTAAACGCAGCTAGGAGCATGATGGACAATATCAGAAAGGCCACACGAAAACCTCGCAACGCCTCAAAAAAGGAGGGAAAAATGGCAAAACACCCTTACACATCTGGAAATTGATCTTCCTGCAAGCGAGAGCCCTGCGAATTCTCAAGAGACCTTTATGTGCGACGCGTGCTTTGCTGTCCCCCGTCCCTTTCCGAACTCCCTCCTCACCTGCCCGGGGTCGCCTCGAAAGTAGGTGGCATACAGCCGGTCCGCGGGTAACTTGTACCACTGCAACCACAACAGCAGCGGCAGCGCTTTAGAAACTACGCGCCGGGCGCGAACAAGGTAGCTGTTTGTTTCGTACACAAGCACACAACGAAAACGAACGGAGAAAGAGCTGACAGCGGGGATGAGGTCGGGAGACGGCTTGCCTCTGTTGTGGACGTCGTGGACGGAAGTGGAAGCGGAGCGGCCGGAACGGGAACCCGGCATCTGCCAGCCACTCGGTGCATGGTTGCATGCAGCCGCCCAGAGTAGTATGCCTTGCTTACCCCACCCAAATATTCACTTCCATCCAATTCCACAAACTCCCTTGGCGCCGCTTCCTCGTCACCATCCTCATGACACCAACACACACCTATCCAAAACAACCCATCCATACCTTCGTAAGCAGCTCCCAGGCCCAGCTGATGGCCTCCTCCTTGAAGTAATCGCCGAAGGACCAGTTGCCCAACATCTCGAAGAACGTGTGGTGGTACACGTCCTTACCGACATCGTCCAAATCGTTGTGCTTGCCGCCTGCAGCAGCAGCAGCACCACCACCAGCAGCAGGAATTTTAAACAGCCAGGTGGAAACGAATTCCCCCATCCACATCGGCCCCATGTAATCAGTTAAATGCGCCAAGCATCTAGGTACGCGTTGCCCACAATCCTATGCCCCTCCAATATATATATATATATGGCTGCTTATAGGTAAGCTTGATTGAGGTGATATATATATATATATATATATATATATATATTTGAGGTGATATATTTATTTATATATATATATATATAAATAAATATATCACCTCAATCAAGCTTACCTATAAGCAGCCATACGGTGATCCGCGCTCCCCGTGTTCCCGTCTGGGAGTCAAACCCGAACGGACAACATTTCCCTCCAACCAATTTCCCTAATTTCTCTATATTTCCCTAATCCCCTTCACGACCCTATTTCATCTCTCCTTTGCCCCGCCACGCCCCAATTCATTTCATTCCTCAATCACCTACCGGCACGAATGCACTTCTGGCTGTTGCAAGCGCGCTTCAGCTTGCCCATGTCCGAGTTGGGGTCGACCGTGCCGAGGAAGACAGGCTTGAACTGCGGGATCCGAAAAGAAAACCAGCACGCACGTCAGCGGCTTCGGAGCCGAACCAAAACCCAGGAGGTGGGCACAAAGGCATTTCCTACAAACCCCTGGCACCCATAATGACGAAGCAGCTCAAGACTCTCAGAACTTTCAAGGCAGTAACCCTCGAGGCTTCCCCTTGCAATAGCGGCGCGTCGACCCACATCGCAACCTTCGCACATGCCGCAATGGAGAGACCTAACCTCTGCACAGAAGGGGCGTATACACCACCTGAGCAGCCGTCTTCGACGCCCCAACCACATTCATTTAAACCTCCGAAAACCCTTACATTCCACCATGTTAATGGGCCAGACCCACATCCCTAAAGGCGCAAATTAATTTACTTTTCAGGGTATCCTCCTACAAACGCGTGACCCAGATCAACCTAGCCCGTTTACCGCACGCCTCGCAGCCTTAACACGTCTGCTTCTGTACTCATCCGCCCCCTAAATGAAGAAATTTTATCTATCCTTGAATTCGCGATCTCCCGAAGACATTCTCCTTAAGCGGGGTCAAAACTACCAACTTTCAACTAACCCCCCTCCCTGCAACATCAACCAGACCACGCACCCAGCTGTGGGGCAGGTATGCGTGGTGGTGTTGCCAATTTGCCTGCCCTGTATGCCAATCAGCGTTTAAGGCTTCATGTGTCACCTTGGCTTTGGTCACTTGCCTGATTCATGCCGGCGTTGGTGAAAAGCAGCGTGGGGTCGTTGTGTGGCACGACGCTGCTGCTGGCCCAGTACGTATGCGCCTTAGTCTCAAAGAACTCGTTGAAGGCCGCACGAGTGCGCGCGCCAGACCACGGCTGAGTCAGCACCGCCTCAAACGCCGCCAGCGGCGATGCCTCGCCTGCGCCCAGCGCTGCCGCCGGCGGAACCACTGCCACACCGCCCAGCGCCGCCTGTACGGCAGGGCTGCCGTACACCGTCGCCAGGAAGGCAGCTGTCTTGGGAACCTCCGCCCGGAGCTTCTCGTCAAAGACGGTCAGGTAGAACGCAAAGAGCGACATAGCGACGGCAGCGTCGACGGCGGCACCACCGCCGAGCGTGGCAAAGCGGCTGGAGCACAGGGCAGACTCCAGAGCGGCCAAATGCACGCGGAAGCCGCTGGCAGCGCTGGCCGCCGCGGCCTCATTCGCCTCCGCCACGCCTAGGAGACCGTCGATCCAGCCAGACATGAAGCCGTCGGTGGCCGCAGACCATTCCGCCCATTTAGCTGCCGCAGCGCTGCTGCCAAGAAGCTCCTTAAGTGCTGGGGCGGCGGAGGCATGGGCGGCGCCGTTGCCGGAGACGAGGAGCGGGAAGGCGCCCTCGGCGTTTAAGGCCAGGTAGGCGGGCGTCTGGTTGGTAAGGCCCTCAGTAAATGGCGGAACATCGAGCTCCACGCCAGCCACCGCCGCCACAACCTACCGGGGTAATGGCATTCGCAAATACTTTTAACCCGTGTAGCACAGAGAAGAATCAGGCCGCAAGACCTAGGCCAAGAACTCTTATCATAGCAGGTGGTGCAGCCCAGAGCGCACGCGGAGGGGCGGTTTAATACAGGAAGCTGTCAAGGAGATGCGAAACACCAGAAGTTGGTGACCAGAACGTAAACACCCCGCTGCCATGTGGTTGAAATCGTGAAGACAGCTTGCGGGCCCATAACGTAATTTTACACACCTGCAGGCGAAGGGCCTTCACACCCACGCCATAAAGCCGCGGCTTTGCGTCCACCATCCTGCAGATGTGTGTTGCAGCTGCAGGTAATCTTCAGCTGCTCTACAAGGGTTGAAAGCGTACGGGGCGAGAGGAGTTTTGAGCGAAGCCTGTAGTCTGTGCTGGATAGGGCCGGGAATGCTCTAAGATCTGCAGCTAACTGCTGCCGCCCAGGATGAAAGGGTTCCGAAACGACATGAACGTGAAAGGCACGATGGGAACGTATAATGTTCACAAACAAACGTATGTCCATCTTGCCGTCCTTTGCAGAGTCGAAACCGTTGAGCGGGCAGCAGAGTAATGACACGTGAAGCTGAATTGAAGAAACGTCAGTAGCAAAATGACACAAATGGCTTCCGGGTTGGACTACTCGATGAGCTTCAGCAGGCCAAAAAGACTATGGGACAGATCAGACGCGAAACACACTAAAGTTGTTTTTGATCGGTACCTAAAAGCGAAAGATGTCTTCGCGCACCTTGTGAGCTACCCTAGACGGCTGGGTATCCTCGATCGCCGCCGAAAGAGGAGGGTAGCCACACTATGAGCCTAACCAGTCACAGACGTGTATATCTGCTGCTAAGGAGAAAGGTCTATATGGTGTGTGCTACCTGAGTAGGGCGGCGCTAGGTCGCACGGCATGAAGTTGTCGTTCTTCATGTGCTTGTGCCCATGCAGAATTGAATTGCTTTTTGTTGCGCTGACCCAACTTGCGTTCAATTTTCAGTACAATGCTCAAGCAGGCTAGTAGCGTCGTTATGCAGGCCGCTTCTGCGGCGGCCTTCCCGTCGTCGGCCCGCGTGATGGGATACGCTACAAAAACTTTCGAAGCGACTCTCTTCCCTGGCGACGGCATTGGCCCGGAAATTGCGGCTGCAGTCAAGGAGATTTTCAACGCGGCGAAAATTCCCGTGGCTTGGGATGAGCAGCATATCGGCAAGACACCTGACCCACGCACGAACTCGATGGTCACGCGTGAGAACCTGGACTCCGTCCTGGTGAGTCTTCACCTCAATTGGATGATTCAAGCACGGTGTTGATGTATATGTCCTTTCTGGCGCTTTGCAGAAGCACAAAATTGGGCTAAAGGGGCCGATGGCGACCCCAATCGGCAAGGGTTTCCGGTCACTGAACTTGACTCTCCGCAAGGAGCTGGATCTTTACGCCAACGTGCGACCCTGCTTTAACATTCCTGGCTACAAGACACGGTATGATGGCATTAACCTTGTAACTGTGCGCGAGAACACTGAGGGCGAGTACTCGGGCCTGGAGCATGAGGTGGTGCCTGGCGTCGTCGAGTCTTTGAAGGTCAGCTCATGCTTTTGCGCTCGTATCAATTCAATTAAATCTGCATTTCGTAGCCTGGTGGACCGCGCGTGACCCGTTGGGTCGATCATGCGTCTGCGAAGATGACCGCGGCTACTCACAAATTGGGAAGCGCACCATTGCGTGCCTTGAATGTTGCAAGCAAACAATCCTGCTGCATATATCAGCGACATGGGGTTATGAAGCCGTGTTCATGTAGGTAAGAACATCCCTGTCCGCCCATGCCCCTGTCGATTCCGGCAGGTCATCACACGCAAAGCTAGCTCAAGAATTGCGGAGTTTGCCTTTGCGTATGCACGTGAGAACGGCCGTCAAAAGGTGTCGGCCGTGCACAAGGCTAACATTATGAAGAAGGCCGACGGCCTGTTCCTGGAATGCTGTCGCGAGGCTGCAACGAAGTACCCTGACATCAAGTACGAGGAGCTCATTGTCGACAACGCCTGCATGCAGCTCGTCAGCAACCCCACACAGTTCGACGTACTCGTCATGCCGAACTTGTACGGCGACATCATCTCGGACCTATGCGCGGGCCTTGTGGGCGGCCTGGGTCTAACGCCCTCAATGAACATCGGTGAGGTCTCCTTGAAAACACGAGGACGTGCGCGTTTAGACTGCAGCACGAATTGGGTCGACAGGGCTTGGCAATCTGTGTGTGAAACAGCTAAACGCACACGCAAACAGTGACCGGCATCACCTCTCCCGTCAGCGGGGATCGATCAGCTCACATGCATCTCCGCTTGGGTGAGGACAGCTCTTGAATGTCGTCAACGGCACCGACACGTGGATTCGCGTTCCTGGAGGCAGACTGGAAGACCCATGTTGACCATGGAACTGAGACCCTAGGCTGGCAGGAGCCTGCCGTGTTTTCAACTCTTTCGGTAGCCTGGCTGGAACTTTTTGATGAGGTGCTGGCCGCTGGGGGCCCGTTGCTCAACCCGTGCCTCCTCAGCCGGCAGATGACCCCTTGCTTCTTGGCTTCTTGCATGCGATTTCATATTTGAGATTGCTTATCCTGCGCGGCCCCGTGGCCCCATACAAACCATGGCTGCTGACTTGGCTGGTCATTACGTGGCGCTGCTGCAGCTGATAATGATGATTTACGCACGTACGCCTCGCATCGCAACCAGGGATCGACCAGCCAGGCTTCCGTTCGACTGAGGCACTTGGTCATTACCTCAACGCATCGGTTGACACGTTCTTTAGGCCGCCCGCTTGATCCGTCTGTCGGGCTTTTTTTCCGTGGACGCTCTTGCGTTTCCTGGATGTAGGTCTCAATGGGTTGGCGCTTGCGGAGGCGGTTCACGGCACGGCGCCCGACATTGCGGGCAAGAACAAGGCCAACCCAACGGCTCTGTTGCTGTCCAGCTGCATGATGCTGCGCCACATTGGCCGCAAGCAGGACGCGGACAATATCCAAAACGCCGTCATTTCGGTCATTGCCGGTGAGGGCGAGGGGGGAAAAGGCGAAACTGGGCATATGGGGAAAGCCTCTGTCAGCTGGCCCTGGTGTTGAGTTTGTAGGGGAGTGAGGGGCCTTTGAAACGGGAATTTTAACTGGAAAGAGGTAAGAATCGGCCAGGGGCTGGGCCAGGACGATGGCTATGGTAAAGACACAGGTCGGGAACGGGACGGGTTGTAGTGGTCTACCAAAGCTATTTTGTTCCTAGGCCATAGCACAAAAACCAGGTGCTACTTCCGTGGCATATGTGCATACATGGAACATACGAATGGGATTCCTGCTGGCATAGGGGGCCCAGTTCCGGGGTCGTAGATGCGAGTGGGGCTCTTCTTGGAGTCGTTGGAGACGTCTCTGGATGCGAAGCCGGCTGGCTGAATTGCGAATGTGGGGACAGGCAGGAAAAACGACGCTCGTGATGAGGCACTGTCGTGAGGCGCTGGGGCTGCTGTCGTGAAGCTTTATCGCGATGCACAGTATGCCAGGAGGCCTGGGAGGTAGCATGAGAAGAGAGCCAAGTCAGGCAACCAGAACGACGGGGGGGGAAACAGGAAAGGGATCAAAGCGGGTTAGAAGGTTTGAAGGCGGACTGACAGAGAAATGACCAGCGAATACTACTGCTCATTCCTGCCCCCGCGCGCGCCGTGCTTTGGGCGAAGTGATGCTACTGCATCTCACCGTCATCAACAGCTGTTTACATATTAAACGTTCTGTAGCCCAGTCGTAGCTTGTACGTGACCCCGGTTATGTATTCACATTGTCATCATTCACATTGCCATCACCTGCCACTTCACATTTTGGCCCATGGCGCGTTACAGAGGGCAAGTGGCGAACAGCGGACCTGGGCGGCAACGCCAACACCACGGACTTTACGAAGGCCATCATTGACAAGCTCGAATGAGGCATTGCCGGTACAGCTGTGGGCAAAAGGACGAAAGGGAGGGAAACGGGATGAAGCTGTATCAGCGAGCGTGTCAACCCGAGTTTGCCTTCGCCGCCCAGTCCATCTGAATAATCGCCTATTTAAGTCCCACACGGCCCGAAAGAGCGGGGGGAGCGTGCGATGAACATAGTGGTGCGGACATAGGATGTATCGTAGAACGCCAAGTTAACGGATCTGGATTCTGGGTTTGGATTCTAATTCCCGGCACAGCTCCTGACTTGTCCGAAGGGTCCGGGCTACTGCAGGAAATGTTTGCCTCTTGATTTGGACGCAGTTTTTGCTGTCAAGGTAAATTGTTCCTAAGCCCTCGCAATTGCGTGATTGAATCGTTTGTCTGCTCATGATGGCACTTCGGAAAGGTGTGGTGCGTGTGTGAATCACGTGCAACGTGCCAGAGTTAGACGCGTGACAACAAAGATGGACATGCCATTCTTGCCATCTCCTCATCAAAGTCGGAGAAGTAACATTGCGGTAAGGACGCTTGCGGGATTGGAACGGTGTGATGCCATGTTTCGTGTCCTGGACTCTTGAGTTGTGGACTCTATACCGTGTGGAGTAGTCTGGGGCCCCAGGGGCCTGGGCCCGGGTTCTTGAGGTGGGTTTGGCATTGAGCTGTGGTTGATCGACCCATGACACCTTATTGTAAGAATCTTTATGAGAGAGCCTTGGGAACGTGTTTCGGCCGCGGCTGAAAGGCTGTCCGATCTTCCATGTGCACGTGACTTGTGACGGATCATTCTATGCACCGACAGAGCGCGGCTGAATGCGGATGCGCATGCCTTCTGTGATTGAGCTCAGCGGTCGCAAGTCCGTTGGTGTTGTGGCGTGATGAAGGAGTGGAACGCGGCTGTGAGGTGGTGTGCGGTGTGCTGACGAAGATGGGTGTACGGAATACTCGTTGTTGTAGGATGTGCGTCTGTGTAGTTTTGCCTAAATCCGTGCCCTGTAGGAAGCAGTAGTTTCAAGCGCAGGAGATTTGAAGCAGGGTTGATATTGCGAGACAAAGTTTTGAGACATATGGCAATGGTTTCTAATCTCTGCGATGCATGGCATTAGAAGTGCCCTTTGAAAAGCTGTGCCCTGCCGCGCGCAATAAAATTTTCACGTATGTGCGCGCACTTATGGAAAGTGCGGCCCTACCCCCACCTCATCCTTCGTATCACGAGCAGCAAGATCATGGCGGATCATTGGAAGAACGCGGACATTCATTTTTAGCGCGCACAGTCATATGAGATGAAAAACCTGGGTTGTTATACAAGAGCTTGTGAATGGTTTGCGCGACTGGATGGGCTTGGGCGGCATGGCAGATCCTGATGAGCGAACCCTGACCTCCTGAGTCAGGGTTCAGGAAAAGTCTTTGTCAGCCGTTTGGTTTACGTGTCCCGGTCGACGTACGTACGACAGCATGCGTCATTCCGAACACGCACGTTTCAGTATTGAACACAGGTAGGCGCGGTGCCGGAACGATTACATACAAGATGCAAAGCCTTCTTTGCACTACTTCTCTCATTTGGCCTCCTCTCTAACCTCCTCTCTGACTCCTCGCTAACCTCGCAAGCCTTGACAGCAGCCCAGTGTACCTCACTCTAGGTGCTCTGCAGGAATGTTGGCTCTTCCGGTCCACGCAACATCAATCGCTGCGCCTCGGCGTCACACGGTCCGTTCCACAGCGGCAGCCCCCGGACACCAACCCTTTTACCGTAGCAGGCGCGCGCCGATAAAGCTCTCCGCAACCAGCGACCCACGGGACACTCGGCAAACCGACTACGTAAGTCTTCCATTTCTTTTTCGCCAATATTCGACAGCTTTACGTCTCCCAGGAAAACTTTGCGTCGTTGCCGCCGCTGTCGCGGCTGGCGCTGCGACCGCTAGCCGCGCGTCTGCCACCAAGGTCACCTCCTGCCAGCTGCGCACCACACCGCCGAGTGGCCGATCGCGCGCGACCCGACTAAGCGCGCCTCATAACACACATCGACGACTCCGTTTCCGGGAGCGGTGAATACCTTTGTAGCACCTAACCTGTCGTTGCATTGCCCAGCCGCAGCTCAGGCCCAAAATTGGGAATGTCGGATTGCATGTGTCCTAGTCTGCAGCTCTGTATTGCCTAAGGCCCCAAATCTCAATAATGGGAAGCGTCGGATTGTGCGCATTCACGAACATATTACGAAGAAAAAGCCGGTAAACAGGGCCTGCTAATGTGCGGCAGGGCAGCGAGGAAGTTCCCGAGAGTTGGCAGGATGAGTGGTTGAGCGGCAACCCGCACATCGACGAGGAGGACAGGGCCAGTGGTACCGACCGATCTGTGACCCGCGACACGACGACCAAAATTGAGGAGATGGCTGCGCGCAGGTGCGGGAGTAAGCAGGAAATTTCCTGCTGTACAACCGAGAACTGAAAACAACACGAACACAGCTGAGCATGAAAGAACATGAGCACGAGCGACCTCGGGTGTGGGACCGGGGGACAGCGGCGGCAGCGACGGTGTACTTCGGTGCAATTGTCGATCGCGAAGGTCGAGGAAGGTCAATACTATCACACTTCTTATCGTCCGTTGGTGCTCAACATCTTAGAAAATAAGATACAGACATCGAGGGGTTAATAGTGCATTGAAAGTGTATTCTCTTTATGTATATCGCAGCGGCGTGGACGTAGATGCCGCTCGTGGTGCGTCACTGGCCGGAGTACTGGGTTCTCGGGAATCAGCGGCAATGGAAACCACGCGGCAGGCGGCGGAGCCGCTGTCCGGAAGTAGCAGCAGCGGCGGCGGCGGCAGCGGCGTTGTCCGGGGACGCAGCGGCAGCGGTGGCAGCAGCAGCAGCAGCAGCAGCGCTGGCGGCGGCCCAATGTCGCAGGAGGGCGCCGGCGAAGACGCCGGTGTGCAGGATATCGAATAAGGGCCGTTCTGCCTGCTACGCTGCTAGGGCGATAAGGCCCCTGGACCATCTCGAGAACCCTCTTGTCGTTCGGGTGCGTCACGGCCCAAGAACCGCCCAATAAAAGCCCCGAATGGTGAGGGCTTCTACGCCGGATGTGTGCTGCTCTCAACGACCTAAGCGTCCTCCATGCACCGTAACGTTCTGCAACAGATTCACGTGCCTCCCATATATACTTTGTTTACATAGGGGTTGGCACTACTGGTAAGGCGCGACCATTGCCCCCGGGAGATCCCGGGATAGATACCCATTAGGGTCAAGGTCCTTCCGTTGGTGGAAGGCTTGGCGCCCCTAGTTGATGGACGGTGGTAACTTGGGACAAAGTTAACCTGCGAGCTGACCAGGAACGGAGTTGGGCCGCTGTCGACCCGACCTGGATGAGGGTTCCCCGAAATACCGGGGAAGGCAGGGTTTCGCAGGGTAGCTGCCACGGGCGAAGATACACCCCCCTGTTTCACACATCATACTTTGTTGGAAGTAATGGACATCGCGATGTGCGCACATGGTTCCTCGTGGTGCAGTCGTGGAGAAGACGTGTCTCGGCTGCAACGTGGGTTTGCGTGGTTTACTTCCTCAGACTACATGCAAGAACAAAAACTGGCCGGCAGTTTTGTTTGGAGTGGGGCTGCAGCTTGCTTTGCAAATGGGCGGGAGATAAGGCCCACTACCGTCTGAGGGAAAGGGTAAGGGTAAGGGTAACCGCACATTATCGGACAATTATCGGATTCGGTAGTCGCGTTATGATGCGCCTACAAGAGACTTGGGAGTTGGCCGACAGGCCGTTGAAGTTTTTCTGTTTGATGCATTTAGGATGCTGTTGCTGTTGAAGTGGTTGACTGGCTCCGTAATTCCATCGCCCAACTCCACTTCCAGTATGTAAGTGAATTGCGCTCCACATAACCCCTATGGTGCTACCTACACCTACCACATCCTAACTGACGAGATCCTAGCTGCTATTGGAATGGCTCCCGTGGGCATATGGCTGCACCACGCTGCAGTAAGGAAAGCTGAAAAACCTTGGAAGGCAAACCACGGAAGGCAACTGAATACGGTATCAGTAGCTCAGTGCTCGTCGGCCATGGACCCATGCTTCGTTACGGCAGTGTCACATGCTGAGGGTGTGCGCTCCCTAGGGGGGGCGTTCCATAGGAGTCCAGAAAGCTGCCAGTTTCTTGCTGCCTGGGGCTCCCGGTTACCGGTACTCGCTCGGCGGTAGCAAGGGGGTAGCAGAACCCTGGAGGAATAGTCTATTCCTGGCGGAATAAGGGTTTGGCAGGGCAGGATTGGCAAGGAATAGAAGCTTCCAGACCGCGAGGTTCAATTCCATGTCGCCTCTTCCGTAAGACCTGCAACGGCAAACCTGTGCGTGTGCATAATGTTGCTCCTGTTGAAGTCCGGAAGCGCGTCGAGGAAGCAGATTATCAACGGCCTTATGCGCAGCAGGCAGTGCAGACAATTGTGAAGTGCACAGGGCTTATATAGGTTTGGCTGGCAGAGATGGAGAGGCATGCTGCAAGGGTGATGGCGGGGAAGTTAACGCGGAGAGTGGGTCTCAGTTAATTCCGAACTTTTAGTACGATTTGGTTTATGTCCGGTTACGGTTGCGGTTGTTTTTAGCTTACAACCCTTACCACGTTTGCCCTGGCAAAAGCAGCGCATCTCGCAGGTCGCGACTTGTAGAGGTCACAGGCTAACAAGTTAACAGCACTGGTCAGTGATTAGCACCCTGTCCTACCTTCTGTAACGCACCCTGAGCACTAAGGGGATGTGAAACCTTATGATAGGCAATGCTTTGAATGCAAAGGCGCAGATTCCTGGGGAGTGGCATCTGTTAGGCGACTGTTGTTACGGCGCTCCCTCAACCTGTATAACGTTGTTGACTTCACTTGCGCTACTCATATAGGTTATATGCTTACAACTATATTGTTCGATGTTGATAACCATGTTGCACTCAAGTACATGTTGCATCGTTAAAATGGTACCGCTGACCCGACGCCGACGAGAGCTTGCAGCATGAGTACAGACCCAAGTGTGCCAGTGGCAGGAGTGCAGGGCCAGGAGCTTCTGAGGGCCGTCTCCTCCTTCTGTAAAGCACCTAAGCTGTCCTGGGCACAGCGCCAGCAGCAGCGCATAGCCACGGAAGCATTGGTGGGTTATAACTGCAGTTACCACCTCCTCTTTTGCCATCGGTCGTGTATGCTGGCACCCAAACAGTGTCCGGGATAAGCTTCCGTGCTGGCCTGGCACATCTGACAACCGTTATACTATAGAGACGTTTCGTTATGTTCTTCATATGTTCGTTTGTCATTTTCCTCTGGTGAATTGTCGAGCTTGCTATTGCGACCATGCTCAGCGGGAGGCCTTGTAAGGCTCTTACTACAAAGAGGCAAATGGCATAAATGCAGGCTATATGGAAAATTTTAAAACCTTACCCCTCGACGATCATCTGGCCGCTGCTGGTCCTAGCGGCCTTACTTCTGGCGGGCGTGTGGAGCGTGAACCGCGTGGCGCAGGCGACGACGGAAAGCACAAAGGTATAACTCTGCTGAAGGGCGGGTCCTCGGGTAACCACGTAAGCCTTAAGTATTCCGGACTGCGGCATACGGTTGAAGCTGGAGACTTGCGGCGTTCGCGTCAAGACGGTTTTTTTTGGCGCGTAACAGTGGCCAAGGTCGTTAGACGCGGAGGAAAGGGATTTGGCAGAGCGTCCTATGCACGGAACGGAACGGAACGGTGCGGTTGGCGGCTACCACCGGGTCCACCAGGTCGAACCCACCGAGCTGGGTGCGGTGTGCACTCGAAAACACCTCACTAGAGGAGTTAAGGAACGGGCAGCAGGCGGAGCCTGACGAGCCTGATGGTCACTCTGGGCTCCACAGGGGCGGCGGTGACTCTGGGCTCCAGGGTGGGTGTAGTTCCCCGGTAGAGTTGCCCATGAAAACATTGATACTGTTGGCCGTTACCCCCAGGTTTTCGACAATTAAGCATGGTAGCACCTCCGTCCGTTGCCCACAACATGGCGACAATTGCCAAGCTGGGCTACCAGACCCAACCGCGCCTAACGGAACCGACCCCGCCTAACACACCCGACTGCAGACTCCA